AAGGCCCCTCGGCTGTATGTACTCGGAAGGTGTCATGTTACGGAAAGCAGAGAAGAGTGAGGATGGCTGGGTGAAAAGAGGGAAGAATGAGAGGCTAAAGGTGACTTGTGCTAGACAGTATGGTGGGCGGCTCATGCTATGTTCATCGATTTTTCTAGAGTAGCAACGACTTAAAGGAAACCCGGACCATTCCCACCCTCCAAAACAAACTCCCTTAGCCATTTCGAGACGTTCCAGACGTGCTTTTGGACCTGGTCCGCGGTCTTTTCAGACGCTTTCGAGACTTGACACTGGGCCCGGTTTCAACTTGCTCCAGGAGTCACATGGAGGGCCTGGGTGGTGTGACTCGTCGTCCCATCTTCCACAGCTGTGGATGTGACGACGTGGCACCCCGACCACCCGACTTCCTCCATGGATCTCACCCCGTTTTCCACGTGACTGCTGGGGTATACATCTACCAGCACCCTCCTGGCCAGGCTGTTTGGAGACCCTAACAGGTGGTTTCTGGGCACCTGTTGTCACCAGGAAGCACCTGTTGGAGGGTGCTGGTACATGGAGTTCCATGTCGATTGTCCTTCCATGTCCAGGCCGTTCGGCACTCGGCACCCTGTCGACCGTGACTGCTGGAGACTAGATGACGAAAGGGGACCGAGACATGATGCCGAAAGGGGCTGGAATTGGAGTTGAGATGAAACCTGGACGAGTTGAAAGAGCCAGGGCTCGTCACTGGCTGTCGTTGGGTGTTTTGCTCGTCCCCAGTGCATGGGCGTCCCAGGTCGTGGCGAACGACGATCGACTGGCCACGCTCTTGCGCGACGGGCAGGTGGCTTCGAGTTCTGGGCTCTCTTTCGGTGGACACGGCCAGAACACCGGGGGGGGTTGGCTGAGGAGGCATTTGGTAATATGCCAGCAGCTCTTGGAGGCAGGTGCCCGTTTTTCAAAGAACCTTGGAATCGGCCAGGTGGGCATAGTGCCCAGAAACTCGAGTGAAACTGGACAATGACCAACTCCTGTGGATGTGCAGCACCAAAGATCCAGGTCGAAGCTAGAGAGTTTATATAAAGGTAGATGACCCTGACAGGGTCATTTTGCATGTCTTGTTTCTTGCAGAGTCTTAGCATTTGGCCGCTAGCTTGCGTTGGCAAGAGTTGTGTTGTTACTATGATGCCAGAACATTTTGGCTCACGTGTGAAAGATCCCAGGATCAAGTTGTTTAATAACAGCGTTTTTGGTGATTGTTGGACCTCGACGCCATATCCCCTAACCGACACCTTCGCAAAGGTTGACGAACGGGGTGCTGAGACTGCAGAGAACATGTCACAAAACACAGACTGCATCATAGACCACCACTTCACACTTTACCGCGATACCAAATCACCACAATGTACCACAGTACATCACAGTACACTTCACCAAACTTCACTTCACTTCACTTCATCACAAATTACAAAGTACAAGGCTACCTATAGCTAGTATACATGTATACACCACATTACACCTCGCCACATCGCTAATCCAGTTTGTGTGCTCAGACTGGAACAAGGGCGACCAGAGTGGCGACCAGATGTGTCCTTGCAAAAGGGTCAAAAGACTGGGCTGCCGCCAACGTGTTGATCAAACATGGACGCAAACACAGGGTGTTTTTCAGTTGCACAATGTTTTAATGCTACAAGCGTCGGCCGATGTACAAGTCAGTACATCATACGTATAAGGAGGAAGAAACACTTCCCACAGGTGTCAGTTCAACCCCTGAAATGCAAATTTTCCAGTTCAGCCTGTGAACTTTCTTGCAGGCCCTTCTTCGCCTATGAAGCCGGCATTTTCACTGCTTTCTGCTGTGACTGTGTCAGGTGAAGCTCTTCGAGCAGCTTCGCACGCCCTCGGCACCGGAGGCGTGCCCCAGCCTCCGTGCTCGGCTGCTGGCCGAGACCACGGTGACGCACCTCACCCAGCCGAAGGCGACAAAACATCGGTTTTCCAGGATGTGGAGATGAGGAAGAACACCCAGTGGATGGGGGTAGGAGAAGTGAATAGTGAGAATTTCAGGATTGGTCAACCTGAGTGTCTTATCCATGCAAGTAGTGTAGATCACCGTGCTCTTCGATTCTCGTGGTGATTTTGGAGCCAAAGCAGCTAGCAAGTTCTTAGGATTTCACTCTTTAGGACCAGCAAATTCCAGATCTGGGGATCCATGCGGAACTCTCCAGCGGAATGAATACTACTCACGACTTCAAATGGGTTCTTCCTCGACACAGACGGTCGACACAGACGGTCGAGGACGGTTCCTGATGAGGCACATGGGATCAGACAAGTTGACATCACACCTGCTGTTGAGGGGCGCTGTTGAAGGGCACTCCCGAAGCCAGTCCTGGCAGTCAATGGCAAGGGGCCACTGAAACCAAGTCAGCATGACAAAGGCAGGGACTGTACTGTCTTTTTCTTCCTTTTCACTTCATCATTGGAGCTGACCTGCTGACCTTAGACTTTGAGGGCTGGAACTCAACAAGATCTACTGAACACGCAGCCAGAGATGGATGTCTCCACACTGCCACGTGCAGCCAGGGGATTCGTTCTCATCGTTCTCGTCGCACTTTTAGGGCAAAAAAACATGTCTCCCAGGAGTCACCATGGAGGGCCTGGGTGGGGCCTGGCTTGTCCCAGCCAGGGGCCGTGGGTGTGACAGGGGCACCAGAACTCCTCCCTCCCTTCGGAACCGGCACCCTGAGCGACATGCGACTGCTGGAGACCTGTCCATTTCGAACGCTGCCTCAGGAGCTCTTGTCCTTTCAGCTGGTCAATGGAGAGCCACTCATCGCGGTGCGCAGCGGCCAGATCTTCTTCTATCGCCACACGGTGGGCGAGCAGCCCGGCCCGTGTGAAGATCTGATCCGGACGGCCCGTCCGGTCGACAAGTGCAGCCAGGTGCAGATCTGATTGAAAGGTAAGATGATTCATCGGTTTGGGCATCGAATGATCATAGAAGCCTGTCAACATCTTTCAACCCTGAATTGGGGTGAGTCAGGCTTTATGATTCGTTTCTTCTTTTCAACACATCGGATTCGTTATTTCTTTTACACTTGCATGGTTCTCTTTTCAAGGCATGACAGGACCGACCTGCACGTCCGGCATTGACATGCAGGTCTGGGCAGATTGGGCGAACATTGGTTCAGTAGCCTTCGAGCTGGCCAGGCTCCTCATTCTGTTTGATACAATCCCTAGCATTTCCAATGGGAGCCCAATGGAGACCTAATTTTCAGTGGGGTAGCGTAGTCTATTGGACACCCATTGGATGATCTTGGTCCGTATCTTCAAGGTTGTTTTAACAAGAAGACCTGACCTGAGAGTTGAAACGCCAGCTCTGATTGAGCCGCCTGGAACAATCCATGAAAACTAGAAGATTGACTCGACCCACAATTGACCCTTCAACCACCCATTCATGTAGGTCACATATAAGATTGCAAGACACCCCACACTCCCAAGTAAGTGGGTCTTAAGACGGTTCTTATTTTTTCACCTTGTTTCACCCTGCTTTTTCACCCCTCTCTTTGTCGCGACCATCGCCGTCAGCTTGAGCGAGAAGGTGAGGCGCAGGTGGTTCTCCACGGCCTCCACTCCACTCAGGTGGTTCTTCCTCTCCGGTGAGGCGCAGGCCACCGAGGCCGACGTCTTGGCCGCGCAGAGTCTGGACGAGGCCCTCCTGGCGCCCAGCGTGGCCTCCTATGCGCAGCGCACGGACGCCGATGTGCGGCGGCTCCGCGAGCGGCGCGGTTGGACGGACGGGTGGAGGGAGTCAGACCGAGGTTTGGATGGCCTTGAGCTTGGGAACTTGATGGGTGGGGTTGGGTTTGAGGATGGGGTGGCTGGACATCTCTTTGAAGGTGCTTTGGATGGTAGGATGTCGTAGGAGAACGTAGGTGGAAGGAAACTTCAGGGGTGAACCTCCGTGTCAGGGACTGGTTGCAATGCATGAGAGCCAAGCAACCTCAAGAATCAATCAAGCTTCCGTCATCTTCCGTCCAGCTCGATCCAACTCCAATGACCAACCCCTTCATCACAGCGAGGGCTTAACAGCTCCATCTATAGCCGAGAACACGTTCTTGGCTGGTCCTAGAGGGAGAAGACCCCCGATATTCACACCAGATGGAGAGTGTTTACCTTCCACTTGGGACCGGGTGTCCCCTCTCCGTCGCTGAGGCTTTGCTCCCGCTATCCACAGCTGCGACCCACGCTGCTCGCTGCCATGGCTCCACCGAACCCGGCGAAGCAACGGCGGTCCTCGGCGCTGAACGACCTGCGCGACGAGCTGGCGACGATGTCCGAACGACCCAGCGGCGAGCCGCGGCGATCCGGACCGTGGGGCGAAAAAGAGCCGCTGAGATCCGGATCCGCGGGGGTGGGCGGAGTGAGGTCCAGCGCAGCGTGGATCGGGGCTGCGCAGTAGAAAGAAATCGCACGGCTGGGATGAGGGCCGCCCGGCGGGAGGGACTGGAGTAATTGAGCTATGCCGGGATTGCAAGCCATCAATGTTCCGGAAGTGCAGGTTCCACCTGCTAAATCGCCACCAGAACTGCGCACGATGCAGTGGGGATGAGGGGGTTTCCAGCCATTAGAAGCCGTGCCTGACGATCGAGGGTGCCTTCTTGAAAACTTGTTGGTGGCAAAATGCAGGAGGGTAGGGTTGAATCCCAACAACCACATCGAATAGGTTTGAACATGTTGGTTCGATCGGAGACTTCCGAAAAGGAAGTGGAAGGGAAACAGGGTGAACACGTTGGGAGACCTTTTTCGTTTGTTCCCTCCCAAAATGGCCGGTCGATGTCCTCTTTCCACCAACCTTGCCCAGACGCGACTAATGGCCTGCCATTTATGCCGATCAGTTGGGGTGGCTTGGAAGATCAATGGGGCGGCATATCTTCCAGTCCCATTAGTCGTGTATGGCTTGGGGAGACGCTGCGAGATCCGCCTCTCCAAGCGGTACCTTCGGTTCACCGCTTCGGCAGGAGACGCTGCAGTCTCTCTGGCAGCTCTCGCGGGAGGCGCGCCGCGTGCGCGGGTCTTCGTTCCGCCCCGGGTCCGGAGGGACGGGTTTGGCTGTTTGGAGAGGGACGGGTTGGGCAGTTCATGGTCCGGAGAGGACGATCATCGGCACGTTGGCATCCGGAAAAAGGGATCAAGAATCAGTCAATGGATGTGGGGGGGTAGTGGGTAGTGTTTGTGCTGTTGATTTGAACACATGAAGCCTGATGTGGTTAGGTGGGAGCCCCAAACCATCCCAAACCTGTTGTTGGGACAACTTTGAGTCCACAGGGGCACCAGATCCGGATGCCTCTGTGAAAGAACCCCACACACCCCACTCGATCCCCCCGTTCAAAAAGAAAGTTTGTTATATAGATGTTTTGAATATTTTTTGAATTAGATTCGTCTTTGATATTCTTATATATATATATATGCTCCGTGTTGCTCGTCCTGTGAAAGCGGTAAGGAGTCAGACTAAGGCAAGGAGGAATCAAAAGGGTTTGGCCCTGATACCGTGCCTAGATAAAAAAAAACAAACATGCATGAAAGGTGATATGTCCACCTTGGTACCTGGCTATAGCCTATTGATGCAACCATTTGCAACCGGCTTGAAACGGCAACCCCGACCAGGTGCGTCGTGGCCTGGGCTCCTTGCCGGAGGTCGGGGACGCGGAGGTGGAACGGTGGAGTCACCGGACGTGTGGATCAACACGAAATGAGAACTCTGAGAAGATATGACCAGAGGCGCAGGAGGAGACACCTCACACCACTCTCTTAGTGGGGATGGTTTCAGAGTAGATGGCACGATCTCCTCAAAGGTGGTGAAGAAAAATGGGCCGGTTGATCAGTGATAGTGGGGAAGCCCTAAAAGACCTCTGTTTTGATGGGAAAAGATCATGTTTTGACTCCAAAACAGGGGTCAATCAGGTTCCAGGTATCTGGACCCCCCCATCTAAAAGGAGTTTGTGCCATCTCGGTCTCAACCCTATAGGTGATGCCCAGACGTCTGCCCAAGACATGTCCACACACGTTCATGACCAACGCGCGAGAAGGGCGACTCGGCAATTTCGTTTTGTATGGAATATATGCCATTGATCCTCCAAACCACCTCAATGTAGGCAAATATATAAGCATACCTGGACCTTCATGTCGGGGTCACCTCACTGGTTTCGGCCCCGGCCCACTACCATCCGGGACCGACAGGACACCCCTTCTTCAGGTCCAGCTAGACGACAGGTAGCATAGGTCCACGCAAGACACGGCAAAGCCAGCAGCGATCCACCACCCAGCAGCGGTCCACCGCGGCGAGCCGTAGCGAGGAGGAGCGCCGCAGCGTCGGACGTGTGCACTTCGACGACCTCCTGTGGGCGAGGCCGGGAGGAGAACGGTGTTTCGTCCATGGTGCTAACGGGTGGTGTGATGTTTTGCACGAAATCCCGTGGAGCATGATTAGAAATCCAAGAAGCATCCAAACTGGCGGGTGGAAGATCTTGAAGGATCATCAGCTTCGGAAACAGTTTGTCGACTATCCTTCCTACTATCTGCAGTCTTCTACCTCACGGCTGGGGAGGTCGTGAATAAACACAAACCCGTAGGAACATAAAGGTGGGATAATGACAGTACTTAGAATATAAATGAATGAGGTACTAGTTTGTGATGAATCTTCTTGACCCCTTCTTCACCTATCTTCGATCCATGTACGGTCTGATCCGATCTCCCGCGACCATTCGACCGGATCCAGACCACTCCATCGGCCTCTGACGACCTCTGATGACCGCAGCTGCGAGGTGCCTCTTTGATAGTCGCGCGGTGTCGGTGGAGCTGCAGGCGACCGGGCCGTAGAGCACCGGAGCGGGTCGGAGCTGGCTGAAGTCGGCGGAGCTGAGCTGAGCTGGTTGGTACCAGAAAGAAGCTGTCAGGGGTCCGCCTTTTTGTCTGTAATGCACAATAGTAAGGTATATATACCTTAATGGTAATTATATATATAAAGCATGATAAAGCTTGGAAACATCATCGAGGTGGAACAAGACTACTGCGGAACTTCTCCCATTACTTTGTCCTCTGTGAGCTACAGCTCAGCTACTTCGCAAGTTGTTTTTTTGTATTTGTTCCATGTATTATTAGTAGACGAGTCAGCCACTTCGCACCTTAGCAAGGTTGTCTACTGATTAACAACATCTCATATTTCACTTTTCTGGAGACCTGTTATATAGTTGATGATTTTGGAACGCCAAGCTTTCAACTGCCAAGCAGTGCAACAATGTCCACTTCATGTTGTTTTCAACGCGGCAGTGACAATTACCTTGAACCGGAATGTCCATGATACATTGGAAAAGCAACGAACAAGAGAAAGACCAACTGCGCGCACACAGAAACCATCAGAAACCCAGAGTGGCGGCCAGCCCACCCCCAAAGCAACCATCAGCAACTATCAGCAACCATCAGCAACCATCAGGAACCTCTGGTTCACCCACAGTCTTCATGATTTGCACGTCTTCTCCAGAAGTTCTCCAGACTCGGACGGCGAACGTATCAGCACCGTTGGACACTCCCGGCGAAGGTCTCGGGGCTGAAGCTTTCGGAGCCTGCACCACCCAGAACATCGGAGAATTGCTCGGAGGTGTTGGGAAAAGCGGCGGGGGAGCTGGTTGGTTCGGTTTTTTGGGGGAGGAAGGTCGTGGCTCTAGAGACCAGGAAGATGGGGGGTCATAAGGTGGAGTGAGTCGGAAAGACAGCAGATGGAGGGCATGACCCAGCGTCGACCATGACGGTCGGGTCATGACCACTCGAGAGGTATTGGGGGTGTCCAGAAAAACCACCCTGAAGGGTGGGGCCTTGTACATGGGGATCCCCTTTGTTCTGTGGCTTCCAAGCTCGTCTGGAATCTCAGCTCGCGTGGGGTTCGTGATCCGCGATGAACAGCTGGACTTCAGCCAGCTATTCTGCCCAGCCAAAGGTATGCGACTTCAGCTCACGGTGATTCCGATGATTTGAAAAAGAACGGCGAGGGACGCGTGGTGCAACGTTCACTGGGGCCATTTCAATACTAGTCATATAGCATGGGTGTGCATTTTGATAGGCCGACACCCAAGCAACGCAACCACCAATGGGCAGACTGGTCGATTTTCCTTCTTCCGCGGGGGGGTCGGAACGCCTGGGAGGTCTCCCTATTTTAAAGGTCGCTCCTTTGAAGGCCAACGGGCCCAGTGAGCTGATGACGAGAACCCCTCCAAAATCCTGGCGACTTCCTCCCCGGAGAACCCCACACAGCCATCCCCGCCTGCGTTTCACTCGCCAACTCGCCAACTCGCCTGCGTTTCACTCGCCTTGACACGCCCGGCCGCCTGAAAACGGCTCCCAGGCCTATCCCAAGTCGGGTCGTTTGCCTGGCACCTGAGGCGCATTGGTGGGTTTTGCTCCATCTCCAACGCATGCGACATGAATCGATCGTCAACTTAGTAGTTGACCAGGCCCTCATATTGCCCATCAAAGGCAGGAGTCTTGCTACAAGATTCGGACAGCAGGAATTCATAGAAACAGCTTCACCATGGGATCAAGCTAGAAGTGGTTGAAGTGGTTGGGTCTCTGACTTCGGCAAGCGAACCAGGCAAGTCCTGTCAGGTCAATCCTGGTCACGTACCGTTGCCTGGTACGTTCAGACACCACCTGCAGACAACTCCCAACTGGTCGACCTGAATATGAATCGACCTGATACCCAACATTTGATCTTACTCATCACGCTTGATTTGCTTCCCGCATTTCTGTTGCGCTGGAAAGGCTGACATGAAAGTTGCAAACCTCTCCCTGCAGGGTTCACTCCCTACACAACTATACTGTCCATTTCCTTTTGGGATTCCCATAGATTCCCCACGAAATCTTCAACACCGGAAACCATCCCAAAGAGCGCGCCCTGTTCGTCGTTTTGGCCTTTTCGCGTCGTTGTGGCCGGTTTCGCTGGAGGTGGACTTGCTGAACCATAGCCCTTGGGGCGCGGCGAGCTCAGGGCGAAAAGCATGCGACAGCCTTGGGGGGGGTGAAAAAAGGGAGGGGGGAATCCCACGAGATCCCAATAAATACTATTTTGATATCTTAAGAAATGTGTGTTTGGATTCGTGAAAATCGTGAGATAGATGATAGATGTAATACAAATTAGATGTATAGATTTGTTGGATGTTGAGGTAGGATTCTTCGAGGTGTCATGTGTTTCACATCCCCTTTTCCCCGATCTTCGCCTGGGTCACCGGGAAAGACCGGAGTGACTGAGTGACTTAGGGAAGTGGGCTGCTTGGCCACTGCTTGGGAGGGCGTCCCAGGATCCACGAAACCTGGGAAAGCGTGGTGCTCGAAGTGGGTGATGGTGGTGACCATTGTTGGGATGTGAAGTGGTGAGCAAGACTCCCTTGAGGTTCTGAAAACAAGATCATCGCCAGCTGCAAGCCAACATCTCGGCAGGAATCTGCTGAGTGAATGGGAAACCAAATGTGATTTGCCAAAGCACTCGAATGAAAAGGAGGTCCTGATCTGCCAGATTGGTAGACAAAACTGGAACTCAAAGCACCAAAGACACTGGTCGCGCCTTGGTAATACCAGCCTTGGTCGGTCCGTGCTTATTGGGGGGGCCCTCTTTGATCCTCTCTTGCTTCTGGGCCGAGGTGTGTGCTCCTCCCTTCTTTGACCAACAGCGACGCGAGTTAGTCGCAGGAACCGCTCAGCGGAACACTGACTGATTGGACGATGCAGCCGGGCTCAGCGGGGCGTCTGTAGGAGGACGTGCCCAGCGGTGCCCAGGGGATTGTCATGTGTAGCTCTCACAAGATGCTACTTATAAGACACAAATATATATATATATATATTGTCACACGTCCGTCACGAACATTCACCAACTTGGATGTCCGGGTCAAGAGTTCTAGAACTGGGTCAAGAAAAGCTCGTTGTTCGTCTTCGTTTTCGCATGTTTTCGAGTGGAGCAAGTCTGGTCCGCGGGGATTTCTTCGTACATTCCAGCAGGCCGCCATCGCCGAACGGACACCACCGGTCACGCCGAAGCGAACGACGATCCGAACTCGGACACCCTAAGCTTCACCTTGATCAGCCTTGGTCTGGCTGGGCGTCCTGAGACCTCCAAGCTGGACGTGCCGAGTTGAGTGGAGGTCCGGTCCATGTTCCGGTCCGAACATGATGAAGCGTCGAAGAAAGTGTCGTTCGTTTACAGGTCCGGTCCTCCCTCCGCTGCTCGAACGCAGATGTCCGGTCCTTTCACAGCTGAAGCTGCGACGAACGAAGCAAGTGCATCGCGACCTCGGTCGTAACTAATGGCGTTCGTACTAATAAGAAGGCTACGTTCGCGTAGCTTCCTGCACTTGCTGAAAACGCTCCCAAGGTGAAGCTCTTGGGCCAGGCAGCCGTCGGTCAGGAGGCGAGTGAGGCGGTTCGTCGGTAGGTCGGTCATGGAACGGGCGAGTGCCGTTTGAAAGGGATCGACTTACATTAATAACGGTATAGGTCGGTCATGGTAGGGCGATTTTAATCGATTTGGGCACGGTTTTTTTGGGAGAGGGTGTAGGGTCGGTGCAGATCAAGGGAAACTACATGGAAAAGGTACATGTATATGCCCTGGAAGTGGTTTCTCCATTGATGCCAGTGGTAAGTTCTGGAAGTTCACTTCACTTGTTGAGCATCCCATGTTGGAGTGATGGAACAAACCAACCCTCCCGTCTGGGGTTCAGCTACCAAAGCGGCTCAGTAGCCTCAAGAATAGTCATAGTCCTCACTATTTCAGCAGAGGCCCTTATTGGCTTTGCCTCACTTGCACGACTGGAATCTTAGGTTCAATCTTCCATTCCCGGTGAATGATGCGTTTTTGCGGCGTATCTATGGTTGCACAGTCTACCCCACTTTGTTCAGTGTCACAGAGACACTCACTCCCCATGCGAGTCATCTCTCGAATCGTGGATCTGAAGGACCCCAATCTGACTTCTCTCTCCTGGCAATGGGCGGAAGTCGCCATTTGTGATGCGTCATCATGCACCATGGAGCATCATCGAGGCAGACAGGAGTCAGACCGGATGACACGATGTATGTGTGGTATAGAGCCATCATCCACCTGTCAGACCCGCTCCCGAATCCAGACGCGCACCGGGTGCCCAATGAATCCAGACGGACCGCGAGGTGTGCTTGTCCTACGGACCGCTCCAAACTTGGGAGATGCTTTTCTACTACGGTTTCTGCCCAGTGGCCAGCGCCCCAAGCTGTTGGCGTATGCAGTCCTCAGAATCCCCTAGGAGCCTATATGATTGATAGTACAATGTGGACATATATATGTGACACACTATGATCAATATTAGCTGGAACTTTGATCAGTATGTCTTTTTGGATCTTCGACGTGGACACCATTTTTTGCAGTATATATTTGAGTCCGTGGATGTTTCTTCCGTTTCTTTTATATAATTCCACGGGAGTTGAAAAAACGAGCTACAGGCGTGAGCCCTCGGGTGAGCCCTCGGGTGTCTTTACCAGAACGTGCCTTTTTCAGCGGATGTGTGTTTCGGTCGCCGATGTTGGCGTGGTTCACAGACTCAAATAAAGCCACCACGAGGTTCCAGGTATATCAGTTTTCAATGGCTTCCTCGGTCTTCTTCCAGCTTCATCTGTCACAAACCATGAATTCGAGACATGAACGCGATTCTCCGCTTCGCTTTTATACATCATACTACACCCCCACTGCTTAAGAAAGAGGTCCTTTTGGGCAGCATTCATTCCTCTATACATGCTACGGCACCGCCGGTGCCCACCACTCCATATGCCATACGTTGCTCACCACGTCCGGACGTGGTGCCCAGGAGAATCCACACGACCGCATGGTGGTCAAGGTGGATCTGCCCGAGGATGAGGCGACCAGCGAGAGAGAGGTGCCGCGGCCGCGCGGCGGACCGAGGGGCGGAGCGAGGTGCGAGGTGGACCCGGTGCCCGGGGGGGGCTGAGTCGTCGGTGGAGTCGATGGAGTGTTTCTGTCCGCGGGCACGGTGAGATGAAACAAACACCAAATGCAAGCAACTCTTAGGTCGTGACGCAGAACCACTAAAGACAGAATATGCATGATGAATGTTGCAGACGATGTGTTTTCCTATAGCCACTGTTTGCCAAACGCCCGCTGGATCCGGGCCATGTCGGCGTGCGGAGCGCTGGATCCAACGGCCGTTGGAGATGGAACTTCAAGTTCAGCTTGTGGGACTTGACGGAGAAGCATTCCAACTCCACGTGCCACAGTCCTTCACCGGCTCTGAGCTTCGGATGCTCATTCGTGATCAACTTCCATCCAAAGCTGGAGCTAGGGTCTCAGTTCTCAAAGGTTCTGAGAAGCTTGCGTTAAGCAAAACTCTGCTAGAAGAAGGGCTCGTACCAGGTGAAGTGACATCTTTGTCTTATGCTTATGAGGCCGTGAACTTGCAGGAAGCCTGGCGATGAGGTTGCCCCGTGGAGGATGAGCCAAGCGCTTTGGAAGGGATACTGACCGTGCAGGGGCTACGTGAGACGACACATCTCAGGCACCTCGTCCACCTCCAAAGCTTGGAATTCAGCCATTCAGTCAACCAGAGTCTGGAGGAAGTGGCCTGGCCCTGCAACTTGCAGACTTTGAAGCTTGGCAACCACTTCAACCAGAGTGTGAAGGATGTGGTTTGGCCCAACAACCTGCAGCAATTGATGTTTGGCAACCAGTTCAACCAGAGTTTGGACGGAGTGACTTGGCCCGGTTGCCTCCAGATCCTCACGTTTGGTGCGTCTTTCAATCAGAATTTGGAGAAAGTGACTTGGCCCGGCACGCTTCAGAGCCTCACTCTTGGGTATTCCTTCAACCAGAGCCTGAAAGGAATTACTTGGCCCAGCAGCCTGCAGAGTTTGATGTTTGGTCAAGAATTCAACCAGAGCGTAAATGATGTGGTTTGGCCCAGCAAACTGCAGCAATTAGATTTTGGCTGCCGGTTCAACCAGAAGTTGGAGGAGGCGATTTGGCCCAGCAGCCTCCAGATCTTGACGTTTGGCTATTACTTCAATCAGAGTCTAAAGGGAGTGACCTGGCCCGCCCTCCAAAGTTTGACATTGGGCCCCGAGTTCAACGAGAGTTTGGAGGGAATCACTTGGCCCAGCAGCCTCCAAAGTTTGACTTTTGACCGTGTCTTCATTCAATTCAAAGGAATGACTTGGCCCAGCAGCCTCCAGAATTTAACGCTTGGCTACAATTTCAACCAGAGTGTGAAGCAAGTGGCTTGGCCCAACAGCCTTCGGAGCCTTTCATTTGGTCACTGCTTTGACCAGAGTCTAGAGGGAGTGGCCTGGCCTGACAGCCTTCAGTGCTTGAAGTTTGGGGAACAGTTCAACCAGAGTTTGGAGAGAATCGCCTGGCCCCGCAGCCTACAGATTTTGACCTTTGGCACCGAGTTTAACCAGAAATTGGAGAGAGTGATTTGGCCGAGCAGTCTTCAGCAGTTGGCCTTCGGCGAAGGATTCAACCAAAGTCTGCAGGGCGTCTCGTGGCCCGAGAGTCTTAAGAGTTTGACATTTGATGAGTGCTTCGACCAGACTTTGCAAGGAGTTACTTGGCCCAATAGCCTTGAGAATCTTTCTTTCGGCTTTGACTTCAACCGCGCTTTGCTGGGAGTGGCTTGGCCACAGGGCCTCAAGCGCTTGGCCTTCGGCCAGGCATTCAACCACAGCCTGGTGGGAGTGACTTGGCCCAGCAGCCTTCGGAGTTTGACGCTCGGTGACGGGTTCAACCAGAATCTGGAAGGAGTGACTTGGCCCCATTGCCTTCAAAGCCTCTCATTCGGCTTGAGGTTCAACCAGCCTCTGCAAAAAGTCACTTTCCCCAGCAGCCTTCAAAGCCTCACTCTTGGACATGAATTTCACATGAGCCTCAAAGGGACTCCTTGGCCAAGCGGACTCGAGACTTTGCGATTTGTGGGCGGTTATGAACAGGCCCTGGAAGATGCGGCTCTTCCCAGCCTGCGCAGTTTCGAATGCGACTTTCTGCAGCTCAGCACGATTTCGACTTGAAATCCAAAAAGTGAGCGGCGAGCCGTGACAGAGACCTAATTAATGGACTGCAGGAGATTTGGGACATCCTTGGATCTCGAATTTATGCTCGAGCCCTGGGAACAGCCCCCGATTCATGCATCATCATCCACAGATCGCTTTACTGAAGATTTTCCTGAACAGGTCATAGCTTCTTCTCAGCACCACCGAAAGAGTGCTCATTTGATGGACAATACATGGTCAGGGGTGTCTATAAACCACCCTTTCCGTGATCGCTACTTCCTTCTTCCATCGTTTTCCATTATTGAGAGTAGGGGAACCCCCAGTCAGACTTAAAAAATCATCAAGCATCCCAAAAAAACGAAATCCATGGGAGTTGGCAGGTCACCCTACATGTACAAAAGCCATACAAAACCAATTTCTTTTTCCGCGCACGGCTGTCGCTTCCCAAGCGTCAGGTGATCTTGCGTCTGCAGGGCATTCCCACGGAGGTCGCTCTCCGTCCACCGGTGGAGGCAGGGAGAGGGCGAAGCAGCGACCGGCGAAGCAACATCGCTTTGAGAGACGCGAAGATGAAACCCTACAGATTTAGTCGTACCGAACCTCAGGTTCGGTACGACAGGACCCTCCTAACCTGTCCAAAGCTACATGTCTCAGTGTCGAACACATCACCGGACCTCAGAGGGTGGCAGCAGATCCCTAAGAAAGATGAAACGATATGACAAGGTCAGGTGAAGTCACTTTGAAACGTCTCTCGACCCGGCATGACCGACCTGGGCGGTGTTTTTGGAACCTCCGACCTCGAGGTCGTTGAATCCAGGTCGTTGCACGTCGTTTCCGGACGGATGTGTTGATCAGACCCACGGAGTCGCATGGAGTTGGGGTGCCTCGGTGCCTCGGTGCCGTCACATCGTTCCACATCCGGGCCGCGTCAACTGATCTCCGCGGACGTCAACTGTCCGATCTGCGGATCTCGTGAGATGATCTTTCGAGGGATTTTTGTTTCGCCACCAAGACAACGTGCGGATCAACACACGTCCGCCTCCATTCGTGTTCAACTCCGTTCATCGCCGAGGTCGGTTGTGGCTGGTGCAGTTTGGGCGCTTTGTGTCCACAGCTCCTAAGGCGGAGTTCTCGTCGTAGGTTGTAGACGGTCTCCTGAACCGTTCGCCGTTTGAGCAGGAGAAACTCGTTGAGATCAAGGTGTTTACCAGGGGTCCCCCCATCACAAACCTGGTTTTCCTTAGCAGAAAACATTAATGATGTGAACACCTTTTTCAAGGGTTTCAGGGCGGCTGGTACTGGGTTTGGGTTGGAGAATGCTGTACTTGTAGCCGGTCTTCTTTCTAGATACCAGGACCCGAGAACCGCCCAGAATACTAGTGCCAAATCATTCAGGGCAGTAGTTGGCTTGCACGGTTCATTTTCTTTGGCATCTGGAGACTAGACCTCTTTTGTGAATTTACTCCAGCTGGTGAGATGCAGCCCCTTGGAACAAATAGTCAGACCATCGTTCAGGTTTCAGCCTATTTGGTGACAGAAACACAATGTGGGACCAGTCATTGATTATGTTTTTTAATGGTTTTTACTTTTCAGCAGAACATCCCTTAATTGTTGGATAGCGGAACGTCCCTTATCATGAGGAAACAAAGGAAGAACTTGACGTCGTTGGACTTCCGTTATGTTGGACTTGTCATTGATGCATGTTCATTTATGCAACACATACCAGGATCATCCTGGACATGGGTGTCCAGTCTAGCAATGGGCTGGAGAGCCTATTGGACACCCAGGTATGGATGACCCAGGTAGACAAAGAAGAGCTGTGATGTTTTCACAGCTCAAATGCTGACCTGATCGCGTCGAAACCACTCAAGAACTTGGCGTTAGCCAAGAATCATCAAGAATCCCAAAATCCTTTTGATCCCAAACTTGTCCTCGTTCCCATTCTTCACAACGCCGCATGGCCGCATGGCCTAAAACCGTGTTTGTCTGTCGGCCGTCCGATGTGTCCGACCGAGAGGGAGTCGAGGCATCGACTCAACCGAAGCTACGGAACAAGAAGCTACCTAACAGAGGTTAAGTGACCTGAACTAGGGCCCTACCAGGGTAACCTAATGGATAGTCTATAGGGTTCTTCAACCTCTTTGGGTACTACCCTAAGACTCCGGGCACGAACCAACTCCGTTTCGGTGTCGGGGTATCCTTCACTGACCCAAAGCCTGTCATGTCAATGAACACCTCCCAACTTCCAAGGGGCCGCAGAAAACCGCTGATTTTTGCAGGTTTCAAACCCCGAAAAATCCCCGAAACACCACCAACCCGAAAACTGCCCGGACGTGACGCGTGTGACGTGGTGCGCGACGCGTGAGGTGCTTCCGAGTGCTCTTGGGCGACATCGAGACTTTGGATCTGGACGCTGCTCCCGGCGAAGGCGGCGATGGAGTCGGATCTTGGATGGGACTATGACTTATTATAACATCTTATCACTATATGAACGATTGAAAAAAGACCAACCCTGAACATTTGGGAGCTCGAACGACTGAGTGAGTGGAATTCATGGACTCTTTTTGGGATCCACAACCACTGGGCTCTTGCAAACAAGAACAGGGACTGGGACTCCTCCGCTTCAGCCGAACGCCACGCGTGTTTTTCCCACCGTGCACCGGACCCGTCCCTCGTGACGACGTCGGCAGGGACGTCGGACTTGGACCTTCAATGTCTCACGGCCATCGAGGCACGGTGCCGAGACGCGGTCGCCGGTCGCGGACGCGACGTCGAAGGGTTCGGCGGCGGGTTCGGCGCGGTGAAAGAGGACCGGATCAGGTGCCATGGAGCGGCTTTTTTCGCCACAGTGTCAACAACTCAATTTGAAGGGCCCTCAGCGCCATGTATCAATAAAGGTAAAAAGGTGTACCCCACAAAGGAGGGTATTAGATCCTAATGGTTCTTCATATGTTTTGTGGTTCTTCATATATAAGGCTACTGGAGTACCACAACTTTTCAGTCCTGCCGTGTCCCACGTTCTGAAGTCGATCAGGGTTTCAACCTCGAAGCACGGTTCTCGAGATCGGACACGACGAGAACCACGACGAGAACCACGCGCTCGTTCGCCAGGGGGGTCGTTCCAGCCCTATAAGGTTTCTTCTTTTTTTTCTAAGTCTAAGGCTTAAGGGGTCTCAAGTTGAGTTGGTTTCTTCTGTTTTTTCTTCCCCCAAGACTTTCTGGGAAGACGGAGACGCGTTCTGCGACGACGCTTAAAGTGGAGATGTTCCGTGTGCGTACGGAACATCTCCCAGCTGGAGGAGCTCCTACAGGGCCTCCTTCAGCCGCTCAGAGAAGGCAAGACGGGTCGAATTGGGACGCCGGGCTGGACGGGTGTGGCAGTCCATCTACGGCCGAGAGGGAGGCACGTGGGGTCCAACCCCGACCCATTCGCAGGGGTCCTGACCCGAACCAAACCCGATGTATTATACAAGCGCCAGTACAAGCACCCAAATTCTTAGAGTGGTCAGTCTTTCTTTTTGCTTCGTACTTCGCTTGAACTGGAAGGACAAATCGGTGTTTGCTTCCCCACGTCTTTTCTTGTGGCATTGCCCGGTTCCTGAGCATTGTGCATGTTCCACAAAGGGCCTATTTGTTGGTTTCGCCCCTTTTGACCCTGTTTTCTCCAAAAGACCGGCGGTTGATTGGTCGACCGAGCTCTACGAGACGCTTCTTTCTGCGTCTCGTCGAACCGAAGAACACCACTGACCCGCACCGTCGGACTTCTTCCACCGTGGTGGTGGACGCTGCGCGTCCACGAGTCACGAGCACCGCTTTTTGACGTCGTGGTGACGTCAGGTCTCATGAGACCCAGGTCTGGCCCTTCCCAAGCCTCAATGATACAGACCTGGTGGGGAGAGGACTGGTAGATGGCCGTACTATGGTTGATTCGAACATCTTTGCTCAACAAAACCGACTCCACGAGGTCTTCCTACGACGGAAGAGCACCCGGCGTCGAAGAAGCCCCGGGGGCTCCACGGCCGAACTCTGCCTCCAACCCCTCAGGTCCCGAGGAAGCTGAGAGAAGCTGGTGGGAGTGCCCAAAGACGGGCAAACGAGCCGGAAAGAGACATCTCCTTCAAGGAGAAAGCGGTTTACCGAGAAGCAGCCTCGATCTAAACTGGGGTGATATTGATTGGGTCATGGCATGGTGCAGATATGTGCAGATGTTCTGTGTGTGTCTTTTTCCTTTGGGGGGGTGAGGGGTGGCTTACTTTGTTAATATTGTTATTATGTTTTTTCTTTTTTTTTTAAAATTAAGCAAGCGTATATATATATATAGATCGTTAGATGATACCGGATGGTATAAAAATGTTCCACTGGCATTTTGACTCTTAGAAGCACAACATCAAGGCCTCCTTTGGCCGGAAGAAGAACCCTGCTTTGGAGGGATTAAAGACCCATGGTCTCCCCATAACTTGCATGAGCTCGATCCCACGGGACCGACACCGTGTCTGTTGGAGAAACAGACACGTTTTGCACATGGACCCCCCAAAAAAAAACCACTGGTTGGCTTTGGGTTCAAGCGGGTCAAAACACCACGGGGGTGTTGGATTCCTCCGCACCCCCGGCACTGGTGGCGATGGTTTCTTTTTCTCTGGCGATTCTTGGTACTCGTAAGGCACCAAGAAAACACTTTCTCCCTTTGGAGAAACAAGAAAACACATCCAATTAAATCTTCAATTCTATAAGAAGTTCAATTCTATGGTCAGATGCGGTGTCACTACTCATCGCGAGAACACAACCCTCCGGACTCAGAGAAGTTTACGTTGAATTTGGGTTTCTTTGACCACACCTTTTCTCGGATGTGCTTGTTCTCCGGCTTTTAGTATAGATGACGCTGGAAAAGTGGAGCCTGTAGGCTTGCGCAGTTCTGCTTGATCTATGTCACAATCTCAGATAGATTCAAGATTTATACCCCGCAAATAGAGAATGCAGTGTTTGGCAATCGCATCTATTCTTGGGTAGTATTCCAGAGGGCTCCAACCATATCCTCAGGTGGTTTTGGTCCCGACCACCACCGTCACCACCGTAAGTCGGCGAGGTGGCACCTCTACGGCGCCCGGATCGAGGCGTCGAAGCGCGGCGCGTTTCGGGCGCGTTTTGGGCGCCGGACACGTTCCCCCGTGCCGGGGGTGAGCCATTGGAGGTCCCAGGTGGGTCGGTTTGACCTTGTAGCTGGATCTTCATGGACTTCTTGGGATTTTTCTTGATTTCGTCCTTGTATCCTTCCAGTGAGTTAGAAGTGAGTTCTGCCTGCAGGAAGGGATAGACATGTCAACAAGTTGGGATGAAGGGACAGATCCAGGAGCAGAATGTGTGCGCGGTGCGTTTCCTGTGGGGTGCGATGCCTTTGATTTGACCTGTCCCATCTCTGGTGGATGGTTCGAGCCCTGATGCAGCCGCTGTCCTGAGACATACTTGATCATTTTCGAAGTCTACATCCACCAAACACGTCGTAACTTGGCGGGTGAAGAACATCTCATTCTCAGAGACCCACTCCTTTCTTAACCCCCTATGCCCTCAACCGCCCTCCGGTCCCTCTCGCGGTGGCCTTCAGCGCCGGCTTGAACACCAGGCCTTCCGGCAGTCGCAGCGGACTTTGCTGGAGGGGAACCTACAACAGCTGAACGCGCTCCGGCGGAGGTTTGCACCGGCGGGGGCAGGGTGCTCGGTCCATGGCTGGTCCCGGTCGTTAGGGAGATGTGTCAACCAGAGGGGGCTTTGGTCCGAGAAACATCATCTTCCATGGGTGTTTGTTGTTTTTCCTGTAGTCTAATACAACCTCATTTTTGTGAAGGTTTTCTTCTTCTTTTTTTTCGACTTTTGCACGGCTTAACTGGGCCTTGAAATGCCTGAAGGGCGGTTTTATTTTTTGTCTCTGGTTGGGAGTTGAATCGAATCAGATGGCTTTGACTTCTGGGTAGATTTGTGCAGGGAAAACTGGATTGATGAAAAAAAAAGATGAGGGGCAGGGCAGTTCCTCCCCTTCACCCATGGATGCTTGCTTGGAATCCTACCAAACACAGCCCGCGGCTTCTAAAACGCTTTCAATTTCCCACTCTCACTGGGTCGTTCGCAGGCTCCAGGGGGAGAACAAGAAGCCGCGGATGGAGGATGCCCTGGCCGCCCAAAAAAAGCGTTGCCCAGCGGCTGGAGATGCGGGGATCGTGGACCAGTAACTATTAGTAACCAGCTGTGTGAGCTTTTCGTGAAAGGCAATGATGATGCCAAATGATTGTGCTCTACACTCTAGACCTGTACAGCTGTTCAACCATTGATCAATTGCAGCAAGTGGCTGGGACATTGAGACCCCCCCATTCGACTGGGCTGACGAGCCAGGGCTGGGTTTGGGGGCTCCCCAGAATGAGGAAGAACGCGTCATCGGTCCAGACCGAAGCGAGGAAAAGCCTCCCCAATCTCAGCATGTGAGAAGGTACAGTGATATGGCATGATATGGCTGTTTTCCGAATTTCCTCTTGGTAGGAGTCAGATGGAGTCAGGGGATTTCCATACCAGTGGCGTCAAGCGATGGACGGCACAAGCAGTTCTAAGCAGTTCTGGGTGCATCTCGGAACCATGTGGGCAAGTCCCTCAAGTTCTTCCCAACTAAGAAGAGTGTCACAGTGCAAGTCCTTTTCCTGTTCGAATCCGGACTGAAGGGTCTTCTGAGGGGGTCTGAGGGTGCCAGGGTTAGGATGAGAATTCCTTCCAAAAGGAGCTTAAAGAGAGCTTCCATCAGGATCCTTGGATGACATGTCCTTCAGAGGCTCCATGCATCGAACCGCCCATTTTGTTACCGCTCGTTGGTCCACAAGCCGTCGCAACGGAAAAGAAAGAGGGAAAGACCTCCACATCGGTCGCGGTCTGTTAGTTCATGTTAGTTCCCCTTGGGACATCGTCCTGGACATCGCGTTTTGGGCACCGTTCTTGGGGGTGCTTCGCTGCCCGCGGGTTACGGCGGAACCGGCCGGGACACCGCCGTCCGGGCCGCCGCCGCGCAGGCGGCGTTCAACTCGGAGCACCAGGGCAACTTGATCGCCTTGAGGCGACCGCGTTGGGACCGGCCCCGGATCGCGTGCGCATGGCCGATCGCGCCGGGTGGCGGTGGCTGACGGGGAAACCGCGTTGTTCTGTGACTTGACTGGGGCAGACTAGACAACAGCGATGGGATCTGAGAACAGAACAAAGGGTGGGATCAACCGGATGGACCATGATACAGGCACCATGAGACGGGCACGATTGTTTTGGCCGACGTCGACTGTGGCTGTAATGAAGGATGTCCACATGTGTTCGAGACGAGCTGTTCGAGCACCGGTCCTGGTCAGTCCCGGTCGTGGCTTTCCGCGAAAAGCGTCACGTGCTAAGCCAAAAGTCCAATTCTTTCACTCCCAGACTGTTTCATGGGACTGCCATAGATGCCGGTCAGTTGGGGTGGTGCCAGAGGGGTCAGTGTATGGGACGTGTTGATCCCTCTTCATCCGTGGGTCGTCCGTGCTCGCTTCAGCCTCATCCGACCATCCACTCATCCGCCCGACACATGGCCGCCAGGCGTGCGAAGCCCCAGGCCGAGCGGCCCACGCTGCGGCCACCGGGGTTGAGCCGAGTGGATTGATGGACGAGGCCCGTCCCGGCTCAACACGGCGCAGGTGTCACGAGTCTTTCACGGTTCCACAGTCGGCTCCAGGTTTTTGCATGGCGTTGCACATGATGGACCCTCAGATGTTGTTCATTTCGTGGGTTTGGAGGTTTGCCCGCAAGTTGAGCAAGTTGAGCAAGTAGAGATTGTACATGACGGTACTGTAAGAGATTTGCATGACTGTGCCTCATTATTTTACAGGGATGTTACGTTTGTGATCTTCGAAGGACCCTGGGGGTCTTTGTTCGGTTTGAAACTGAAGAATTGCCCACAGAGATCCTCTACTTGTAGGGCTTATTGGAGTCATTCCAGTTTCCGAGGCCCTCCAAATAGACCCTAAGTGGAGATTCCTTTGTTGCTTCTCGTGATGTTTAGCCCAGCAAACCATTGGCTTGTGAAGGCTCCATCCAGCACAACGAGCCCTCGAGTCCTCGCGTGCACGACAGCTGTCAGGACCGTTTCCATTTGAAGGACGCATGGGGTCCAGCACGTGGCACGTCCGGGTCTCACGAGCGACGATTTGGTTGCCGTTCTGATTGTAGCCTGTAGCCTATAGTGCTTCTTTCAATAGGCTTTCAAGCATCGCCTCCACGAAGCTGTCAAGCTCAGCCTTCTGAATATTCTCTCAGCGCCCAGTCGTGTTTTTGGCGCCCCCATATGCTTCGGCGTGTGGCGCTTCCATGGCTGGTGGTGTTGCTTGGAAAATGCTCAGCTACTCGTGTACAAGTCTCCCAAGAAGAGGTAGCGACTCGGACCGACAACAACCCCTTGTTCCGCCCTGTGCAGCGCACCGCCACGCAGGCCGCCACCGAGTTCGTGGCCGCCCGCTGGGCGCAGGTCGAGGCGCGGCTGCCGCTGGCGGCGCGGAACCTCTTTCGCGGCCGGACGCAGGGCGTCGCGCCGCTGCCGGTGTCGGAGGAGCTCTCCACGATGGTCCGCCCGACGGTGCGTTGGGTGCCGAAGATGCCGACGCAGCAGGTGCCTCTGGGCATCGGGCGCCTCGGCCGAGCGCCGCAGCTCCCGACGGCCAACGCCGGCGCGACGGTGCACGCGGCGCTGCGCGCGCCCTTCGTGCGCGCCTTCCGTGCGCTGGAACGGGCGCTGCCGCGTGGGGAAGTATCGCTGGAACGCACGGTGCGACCTCGCCGGTCGATCTTTCCCGTTCGCGCCAGGAGTTGCAGCGGCTCGGATAGCGAGCCCTGGTGTTGTAAGGTGAGATTGATTTTGTATTTTCGCTATATGGTTGAAATCCCCTGCTGGACAAGTTTTTTGTCAGGTTCCTTCAAATCCAAGGAGTTGGAGGAGGTATTTCTCCTCGAGCTCATCTGAGACCCGTGCCAAATTCTTTGGCAGGCACCTGCGAGATATCTTGGCCCGGAAGGATATGAAGGAGTCTAGGCTCATGCAGCAAGGCAAGAAGGGTGGAATTTGCACGCGCGAGCAGAGGGCTGCCTTTGCCTCGCGTTCAGTGGATCAGACAGCCTGTCCTATCAACATGGAAGCTCCAAGTTGACGTCGCTGTACCTGGTCACCAGTCACGCCGGCGACCACAATGGTGCCTTCAAAGGCTTGAATGGCGGAGCACAGAGCTTTGGCTCCATGTGCTATCGCTTGCTACAGATGAGCTCACACTACAACGTGGTCTTCAAGAGAGTCGACTCCGTGAAGGCCGCCACGGAATTTGTGCAGTCTTTGAGGTCTGACAAGGTCTTTGGGCAAGGCATCAAGCATGTGACCATCTCGGGACATGGCAATCCTACAACGCTGGTTTTGGGTTCTGATCGGCTGCTCACCACACAGGTTGGCACGAAGACCTCCGAAACTGCCAAGCTTTTAGATGCCTTGCGGCCCATGTTGATTGAGCAGGGTGAAGCTCGATCCACCGTCTTCCTTGAGTCCTGCTCGACCGGCAAGCAGCCCACGAATGTGAAGCTGAAGCCATTGGCTCAGAACATCGCGGAGTCCTTGCCGGGAGTGGAAGTGCATGCCTTCAAGGACGCCATGTACCCAGCCCAGGTGAAGTTGCAGGGCAGCTTTTTCGAAGATGCGTTGTTCAAGTGCACCGTGGGCTCGCCCAACGGGTGTCTGAAAGCCACCACCTTCATGTCCAAAAGCCTTCAGGCAGTGGCTTTGTTGCAGTGAAGGCAGCGAATGGAGCTGCTGGAGAACGAGACGGAGAAGGCAACAGATGAGGAGGAATTCAAGTTCTACCATGGTGTCACCTTCCTGGCAGATGTGGAAATGTGTGCGGAGTGGTGCTCCATGATCGAAGAATGCAATAGCTTCGAGTTTGCAGAGTTTGAAGAACAGGAAGACTGGGTAGATTCACCTCTCGGTCTATGTTCGCTCTATGAACAAAAGGAACCAGATGCTGAAGTTGAAGAAGAGGACATGGACATGGAGGAGCGCTTGAGGAGTTTCACGATCGATGAAGATGATGTGCCCCTCATCACTGAGTTTGATGGTCTAGAGTTGGATTAGTTCTGACCGAAAGCCGCTCACCGTGTAAAATAGGTCGTGCATGAATTATTTGCGCGATGCTTGCGCTGCTTGGAAGCGCGCGGTCTTTTCTAGACAGGACGCGAATTTTGTTCGCTACGAGAAGATCAGGATAAATCATTCAATCATGGGAAATTATGGGATATTCAGTTTGTGCAGTTCGTTGAACTCTCATCACCAAGGCATCCTGCACGCAGACGGCCGATGCTGGCAACTCAACACGTTTGGGTCAGCCGGCTTTGGCGGCCAGGCGGCCAAAGCGGAGCGTGTGGAACTTTCCAGGAAGTGAGATGCTGCTAATTCGGGTTGTGCTGAAGAGTGGGACTCAGAAGTCTCGTATAGATTGGATCATTGGCTTCGCCAGCGGGGTACTTACAATGCAATTGGCAAAGAAAGTGACTTTGGATCAAAGCATGGAACCCGGGCAAACAGAGTCCCACAAATGGTCAAGCGACCATTGTTTGGGGATGTTGGGTGGCCCACAAGCCTTACGTAGCCTATACCCTATAGTAGTCCGGGTCGACCATTTTTGGCAACACAGAAGTAAAGGAAATTCCTGAACTCAGAGCACCTAAGGACCATCAAAATGGTGGACTGGACTCCCAGGGATGATTGCAAACCATGCGTGCTTGAAACGGTAGTGACAAGCCCAGGGCAGTCACACTCCCGAAAGACTGGGCCTCCCTCAATCCCAGGGAGTCGCAGAGGGCCACTGAAGAACAAACAACATCAAAAAGCTGTATATAGTTTTCCAAACACAAAAGCTGACATGTAACATGTACAAACACCACCAGTGAATTAACATATGAAAACAGGCCCTGTCAATTCTATACGTCAACGCGCGCGCTTTGAAAAGTCCAACTTTCGGTGTTGTTTCAACCATGCGCCAAACAAAAGAGACATGTGCTTTCAAACGTCGGATTGTTTTTTTTTTAAACCATATGCCATATGCGCCATAATAAAAAACACGTCTTTTTGGCGGGTCTCTGTTCCGGATGTTGTCTTCCACCAGCTGTCCTGGCCGAGCCCGAGTGGAGCGAATCACCTGCGGATAGAGCGGATAGAGCGGATCCGGAGAACCCTTTTTGGGCGCCCAAAAAGACTAAAAGGAAACCTTTAGGAATCGATTGGGGACGAACGACAGTAACCACATGTAGCCTGATTCAGAAAGCACCTGAAATGAAAACTCTGAATTCATATGGGGGGTTTATTCATCAAGAGTCTACATTAGCAGCATTGGTCAGTTTGCTTGCGTGATTTCAAGGATGGCCCAAGAGGAAACGCACTGCAGGCAACTAGTCGGAGAAGTTCTGAACCAGTTAGTGCAGGCTGATCCTAGGTTGTTAATATATAATGGCCGGCCCCCTGTAACACTTTAGTGCAACATTGGCTATTGGCTATGTTTACAACTGATATCATAATAATTCATAATGCATCACATATCATGTGATGCAGAGTTACCAAATACATCCCCATCAAGACCTTGGACTCAATCCCAATTTATGGCCCTCATCTTTCGGGGTCACCGCCTCGACCCTCCGTACCGCGCGCCCGGCATCCCGCCCCGGCCGCGCGCGCCTAGCGCGCGCGGGACGGGGCTGCGGAGCACTCGGCGTTTTTCCCGGCCACGGAGCTGGATGCGACGGGGAGGTCTGGATGTCCCACCGGACGAGCGGATTTGAGCAACGCCGGTTCTGCTAAGTGTCCCACTAGACTAGACTCTTAGATGTTAGATGAATCAAAGCTCCACATGAAGGGGTTGGCCACGTTGGAACGGAACCATGGCTCCAACGGCACTTTCTTTCAAGAGCCACTTTGGAAAAAAACCCTCGTCTCGGTGAAGGTTGACACAGGTTGACCTTCTCTTATTTGAGATCTCCCCACAACGCGAGATGAGGTGGGCAATCGGAAATCTCAGGATCCATGCCCACAGTGATCTCCACATATTCCCATTAACACCCTTGGGGGGGTTCTCTAAAGCTTAGACCTGTGGAGTAGATGGAGTAGATGGAGATTGACGTTGGGGATCAACAGAGCGATCCCGTCTTGACCCGTCTTGATTCGGTTCCTGTACCCCCGCGTGTTAGCTAAGTTGAGACAAGAGATGCAGGAGACCCAGCTAGTTGAAACAAATGCTTCATCTCAGCCTGGGAAGAGACCCAGCTAGTTGAAACATGAAACACTACATGAAACAAATGCTTCATCTCAGAAGTCTTGACTCCAAGACTGCTTGGGAAGCCTCGGAAGCTATGTCTTCGATGTCTTCGATGTTCAGATCATTGGAAGTCACGTTCGCCGGGCGAGACCGAAGACGCCGCCTTTTTCGGTCGGTGGTGGTCGTACCTCTCCGAACGGAAAAACCATGGAGTTCACGGAGTTCACACCCTGTCTGCATATAGAACGTTCAGGGGTCTTCCTTTCGGGGCCATACCATCCACTTCCATGTGAGTTCCAGGGAGTTTCAACACATCGACGGTAGAACGACTCGATCGGGCTTGAGCATCAGGTCGGTTTGCAGGAACGACTCGATCGCCGAACAGCGATCTGCCTGCAGACAGGGCGTTTCAGTCTGTGCTTTTGGGCGAAAGTGATTTGAAGAACAGGGTTGTCACTTGGTCCTTCCAGGTTGTCGATTTGTACACTCAAGGCAAGGAACAACTCCCTCCATACCATGCTCACGGGTTTCTTAACTCATCCCGTCGAACTTCCGAAAGGCATCCCTGATGAGCTCACTGGAATCCTCCAGACGGAAAGGTTTCGCGGAGATCTCCTTGATTTCGCAATTGATTGCCATTGCCTCATCTTGCCGAACTCTGATTATCTCTCAGGAGTGAGTCTCTAAGAGATCCACTCACTTGGAGGAGTTAAGACAAATTGGAAAATTGAGTTCAATTCGATGCGCGTGAGTCTTTGCGTCTTGACTGTATACTTTTCAGCAATCAGACTTCCCCTGTACAACAGCAGCAACAACAGCAACAACAGTAAGAACAGCAGCAGCAGCAGCAGCAGCAGCAGCAGCAGCAGCAACGCTGCAGCAACATTGCACCACACCTACATATGTCTTGAGATATTCGGCTTTGACTGTTTAACGTGAAGAATTTGGCCAGAGAACTCTGTGTGAGCATGTAGGTGAAAGGAGCCAGTCATCTCTTGTCCTTGTCTTTCTTTTCCAGCCAATCATCCTCGCCTCGAGAAGATGTTTGCGTAGAAGGTCAGGGCGTCTCAGTGAACCCTTCCCAAGCCGATATGTCAATCATCGTCCTCCCCATGGAGCACAGAAAACGTCCCACGAACGCCTTAATGAGCTCCATAGCCGTGGCCGAAGAAACCGTGCGTGAACGTGCAACTCAAATGAGGAAGAGCGCGGTCTGAACAGTCTGAACCCTGCACAGCTTTCTCTTAGAATTATACTTAGATACTGATCCAAGCCAGAACCCATACCAATCAAGGCTACAAGAAAAGGGCTTCAACCGCTGCGAACCATGAATTATTTGTGACTAATTATGCTTCCTTTTGGCCCAGAACGTCCAAGTTTGGGGCACAGTACTGTACGTCATGAGCTCCGCCAACAACAATTGTGTTGGCGAAGCAGCTCTCTACCGCAGTCGCCTGAAGAAGTTTTTTTGGAGGGAGTCGCATTCATTTGGATATATCAGCTGCTTAGAAGCTGAAGATGATGTCTATTATTACGCCTTGGAACTGGCAAATGCCATTGGCCTGGTTGGATCAATTAAGAGAAAGTTTGAGCAGCTGAGTGAGCTTGTGCAGGCTGGCTGTTTCATTGAGTTTGCGAAGGTCAAGAATGAACGAGGTGAGAAGGTTGTGCAACCAATACAGCTCTTGCCAGATGGCTTTGAGGGTCAGGATGAGCTGGCCGCACGTCTGGATGCGCAAGTGCTTGAGCGCAAGATCAGGCCCCAATTTGATGAGGGCGAAGACTGTGAAGAGGAGGATGAGTATGCCTTTGACCCTGAAGTTTGGCCCGACCCAAGTGGAAGCTACGTCCGTGAGCTGCAGGAAAGGGTGTCAAGTCTTTTGGGAACAAAGGCTTCTGCAAAGAAGCCCCCCCAAGTGTGGTCAACAGAAAATGTCAAAGACTATGTCCAATGGTTGAGTTGGCAACACTGGGACCCGTGTCATGCATGGAAGGGCTTGAGCTGTGGCACCTGGCCCGAGAAAGCCAAAGAGTATTTCTCACGAGCATCACCTTTTCCGGGGAAAGCCAAAGCTTTTGTTCAGGACATTCCGGAGGTTGTGGCGTGGAACAACAATGGGTCAACCTATGTCTATCCCAAGTCGGTGTGGGCATTTCTGCAAAAGCATTCATCTTATGACATTGAAAGGGTGGCACAGGACATGGTCAAAGGAATTGCAACAAAGGACTTCTACTGCCAGTGGTGTGAGAAGGCGCGGATTGTTGGCAAGGACTACTATGAGGACCAGTCCTGGTATTGCAAATCATGCTTCTTGTCTTGGCAAGGCATTGGGCCTCGCGGAATGTCAGACAAAGGAAGGTTGAAGAAAGGCAAGAAGACCGGAAAAGGGCACAAGGGCAAGAAGGGCAAGAAGTGACGACGAAGAGGCGAGCACTTTCACAAACAATGGCCTGCCTCTCAGGCTGAAGGCCTCTGTGTATAGCTCCTGGATGGTGGACTCTGAGATCTCAGTGTCAAAACAAATGACGATCCTTCCAATGCCATTCCAATCTCTGACCTTACTCAGGGAGACCCAACTCGATCGCTTCCTGTTTTGCCCGTTTCGTGCCACCCGAACTCGGACGTCTCCGCATTCGGATGGCTGAACTTGTCATGGCTTGTCATGGCTCAAGAAACTGGGGCCGCGTGGGTCCGCATCGCATGGATGCCAAAGGTAGAGGGTCCCACCCATCCAGCTAGTCGCAGAAGCCAGCGAGGCGCGGAGCGTGCTTAGAGATTTCTTGGAGAACCAGAAACCATTGCTATTGGGTTGGAGGCCATCGCGATTAGGTTGTTTATAGGTCAATGATTTCGATATATTTTGTTTTTTCGAAATGATATCGAAATCATTGATATGAAACGTTTATTTTTAAATTTCAAAAAATTTTTGAAAAGTATAATGATTTCGATATAATCTTTCATATGGTTTATACGTTTTGATACTTTCTTGGAGAACCAAAAGCCATATGACTAGCACCAGTCACCTGAAAGTGAGGGGTGATTTGGTCAGCGACGTCGGCAGCAAAAGGGCAGAACCAGTCGCCCTGGCTTGGGCTTGGTCAGTGACCTGCTTTGGTAGTGTAAAATCCTTTAGGTCAAACAATGGTTGTCTGGTAAAGCCTATACTTAATCAATGGTGGTTGGAATCCAACGGGCAAGCGAAAGGTACTGTAGTTTGGTTGATGGGGAGACTCCCCCCGCCATGCAGATGCAGATGCCAAGAAGATTTGTCAAACCCAAATCCTTACGTTTTCATGTGTGCCTCGGCATGAATATGTATGATGCATGTTGCTAGGACAGCCACTACAGTAGGACAGCCATCAAAAGGATCACGTTCTTCCCCAAGGGGTTCGGATTGCCATGGCAGATGCCGAAGGCACCTTGCCAGGTGCGGTTGTCCGACGTGGGTCGACGTCGGGGGCTCGGAGCGATGAAATCGGCGACGTCCCGGGCGGTGTTCCAGTCCGGTTCGGGTCTGGATCAATCCGGCGGATCCACGGTGGATGATCAGCGGAATCAGGATGGTTATAGGTCAGGTATAGATTCCATAGATGAAGTGTTTGGGTTTGTGCCATATATAGCTATGAAGAAAAAGAGTCGAAGAGCATCACTAGTTCGTCCGTCTGACAGGTTGTACACAGCATTATAGCTAGCATGGGTTTATATACTGGTTCATCATGGGGTCCTAGTAACCCGATGTTGACATTGATGAACCTTGCAAAGGTGTATCAAGAGGGAAACCGCATCCGATCATCCAGCTGATGGTCCAACCGACATTGACCACGGCAAAGCCTCGTAGTCCCAACTTCCTCGAAATAAAATGCTAGACTAGTCTACTTGAACGCTGCGTACCGTTACTGCACCAAAGTGCCATTACTGCACCTAGGTATGTGGAGCAGATCCCTGTCGGCCTAAAGAGCTACTTGTATAGTGGAGTATAGGCAGAACAACCAAAACTCAACTGACTGTCAGGCAACACAGTCGCTCCTGAAGTTTGATCGAACCAGTGGTGTTTTGGTACGGGACAGCTCGCGAATTAGACGTGGACTTGGGTCCAAACTCTACCAGTCCAATCCCGGCCCATGCATAACTACAATTTGTCCTGCAGGAGAAGGTCCCTGCCGAGGTGATTTCGACTGTCCCTCTTCACTAGTGGGAGCACCACTCGTGAAGAACGAAAGAGGAACAACAAGAGACACTCTTTTTTGGGAGGGTGTCCTTTAACAGATGATTCTGATTTGAACATCATATAACACCATCATCAGTGATTAGAACCTCAAGATTTCTTTCAACTCCACACCTTGCCCCCCGTTCAGAATGATCAATCGAACATAATCGAACCATCTGAATGCTTCTGCGGCTGAAGGCTTGTCAATTTTTAACCAAAAGCAACAACATTATTCGTGACACATCACGCTCTTTGGAGGAGCTGCAGCCCCGCGGCCTGCCTGGGGCTTCCGAGGCCAGGAGGGGTAGAGACCAAACGCTGGCTCTGACAGGAGGGGTGTCAGACGATTTCTGTAGTGAACAACGATTTCTGTTTAGACGATGAACAAGTCCAGTGGACCACGAAACATGACCTTTTCCAGCAGTCACATGTCGCTCGCGAAGTCGGTGTCGGTTCGGAGGAAGTCGGGTTGGGTTAGGGGTGCCACTTTGTCACATCCACAGCTCCTGGATGGGACGAGTCACACCACCCGGAGCTCTGTGACATCCAAAACAGTAGTAGTAGTAGTAGTAGTAGTAGTAGTAGTAGTAGTAGTAGTAGTAGTAGTAGTAGTGGATGGGACAACCACTGGATGGGACAACCATGGGGCCATCGCTGCATCGATCGGTGCCATTCGACACTCGAGACTCGGGTCTCGTGGAGGGCTCCGCGGTGTTTTTTTTTGCCTTCGATGGGTCTTAGGGCCAGCAAAACACGGTCTTACTACTTCTTACCATATATATAATATATAGGCTTGTTCCACACTTACTACTTATAGGCGTGTTTAACACTTAAAATTACTACTACTGTATATGTATAGGCTTAGTATACCAATTTCAAAAGAATGCACGGTGGGAGAGATGTGTTGAATGTGCTATGCACTGGCGACCGGAAAACTGTTGACGTTGGGGCCAACGATCTGATGTCGGTGGGACAAACACCAAACGGAGTGAATCGAATTCGTCTCCAACTTGTGAGAGTCCCCTCACTTGGTCTTTCGTACTATACAAAAGAATATCTATATCAATATCCCTTTTGTTAATTGAAGAAACCATTTCTTTGTTCGTCTCCTTCCCAGTCATCGGGCACAGAGGATGGGTCCTCCCGCGAAGACCGGCTCCGCAGAGTCCAAACGAGCTGAACGGTCCCGGTCGACTTCGGAGAAGACCATGGATAGAGGACGGTTGAGCTGGTCTTGGAGTGTATACTTCGACTAGTAAGGATTGTTCGGGATTCAAACCTATCAATGGGGCCAGGCATATGTGGAGGAAGTAGCAACTGCAAAAATGTGGGGAATTGGTGGGATTTCTCCCACTCCACACCATTCCTGGTCCTCCCTACTACTTCTGGTCCTCCACTCATTGGCGATGATCACCACCCTGGGGAGGTCCCGCAAGCGCGGCGGTCTTCGCGTGTGCTCGGGGACCAAGACGTTTGACGCGTCGGCCTTGGGAGTGGTAGAATCGATGTGTTTGACTCGCAGGTCGTGGGGGTCCTGTGCTTCAAGTCGCATCGGTTGTTCAACTGCTTTTTAGAGAAAGACATTGGAGTACTTTGTTCATTGAATTGTAGCATAGTTGCATAAGGTAACACTAAGCAACACTTGCAACATCTCCTTTCCTTAAGGCCGTAGTTCTTTGGTTAAATATTTCAAGAGAGAGCACGCGAATGATCTGCACCTGACCTCTCCTTTGTGTCACCTCGGCCCATCTCCCGCACTAAAGGACCGTCCTCGGCCTGTGCTCGTCCCAGGTCTGTCTCGGCACCTTGCTCCTCCTGGGCGGCGCCCTCTTCTTCGGCACCCAGACCGAACGGACCGGACGCTGGACCGGACGGACCGGACCTCGAGGGACCGGGGGACCGGGGGACCGGACAGCGGTGTTTGGGCTGGACGTGGAAAAGATCGAGCCGATGGGACCCGATGCCCAATGTTAATCAATGTATGGCTTTTGTTATACAATGGGTATGGATCAATTTCTTTTCAGAGTGTATGGCTTCAATGTTATATCAACGTGCCTGAAAAATGAAACAGTGCCTTCCGGGTGTGCTGATCAGATCAGGAAGTTGACCAGATGTCATGTGTAATTAATTTGCTTCAACGGCGGTTGATCAAGAAACCCATAAGAACCCCAGCAAAGGCAACCTAAGGCACTCACACTTCTTCAGAACCCGGGATTCAGATTGAAACATCCATAAAGATACACAAAACATTCCAAATACCATGGCTCAGCAGCACGGATTCAACTCTATACTAATCCAGTACGGGAAAGCTGGTCTAGTGGTTCCTGGAGTAGAGCACATTGCATCTGACAAAAGAAAATCATTGATTTCTGTTCCTTTGACTACATCTGTTATCCACATCTGTTATCCCCAAGTCTGCGGCCTATATCTGATACAACCACACAAAAGGTAGGTACCAGGGGATGCAAGCATATAAAAAATATATATACATATATGCTACCCTCCCCCAAAAGATCATGAAAAAGGTAGATCTTTGGGGCGTGGGGTACCATATATATATATATATGCTATGTCTTTTAGAGGCATTACTCGGCATTACCATGAACGGCCGTGGCCTCCAAGTCTTGTTCCCAGTCTTAGACTGGCCACGCGTGGCAAGTCTCTCTCACGCCCAACAAAGGTGCCACGCATCGAAGCGCGTCGGACCCGGAGGACGGGCGGGTTGGACGCTCAGCACGGCGCTGTCGTCTGATTTCTTGGCCATGTTGGCCCCAGGAATCTGGCCCAATTTGAGAGCATCGGTCTAGTCTTTCAATCCAGAGTGGTCCTGTTAAGAGACTTTTGGAGGATACCTCCTTGACATGGTTTCAAAGATTTTGCTCGTTTTGGAACAGAACCACCAGAAAGCGGCGGTGTTGGATGGAACCACCTTAGGCAGGCAGGCCACCGAGAAGGCAGGCCACGAACTGATCGTTCCTTGGGGATGTCCATCGTGTTTTGTGGCGATGTTTACATCTGACGACCAGAGCGGGCAGGATGGAGGGTGAAAGCGGCCCAATCATGGGATAGGATGGAGTTCTTTTAAAGAGGCGGAGCGGCGTGATCGATGGAGATGAGCCAATGTTTGATGGAGATGAACACACGGCAAAGTCTGACAAAGTGGTTTCTTACAAACACAACAAACTGTTCCTTATACTTCCCCCACACAGGGTAATCAAACTGGAATCCGCTGGTGATTGGAAAGCACTACCCCCATCAAAGTCCAATCAATATGTGGGGGAACGGGTTCAACACCCCAAATCATGAAAAGCAATCGATGAAAACCGAACATCCTTTGCCCGTATACTGGATGTTGACCGATTCATGCATGTCTTTTTGGCCTAGGGATTGCAGCAATGTCAAGCATTTTCGACTGTTCATTCATCCGTTCATATCCGTTCATCCATCACCCCTGCGACACCTAAACACATACCCCTTGAATATGTCACTATAATCTATAAAATGGTTATCTAAGTTATGCAAAAAGGTGGGTACCCGCTTCTACTCCTGAAAGGTGAGAGGTCCATTGTTCCGGTGGCTGTCGAGGAGCTGGACCTTCGGCACTGGAGACCGACCAGCACCGAGCACAGGCCGCGGACACTGGCGACTGGGGTCGAGTGGGGAAGAGGAGTCCTAAGAGGTGAGGTGAGGGTTGAAATGATCGATACACTCAACAACACTATTTTACATACCCTAGGGCTCCAGTCGTACCGAACCTGAGAAGGCGGGACAGGGGTCGGTGCCAGGAGGGTCCAAATACCTGGTACTTGGAGCCCTCAATATCAGACTCATGCAGACTTATAAGATTTGTATGCCAAAAGGTTGTAGCACTTCATTCAGGGCCAGAAGCTTTGGCACTTTGCACTGCTGAGCCGTGCTCAGGGGTCAGCAACCCTCCTTGCTGTTCAAGCAGGTGCTGGAAGGTGCAACGGTGTCGGGTTCAATGCGCTTCAGACGGCTGCAGTCCGCTCGTTGGCCTCGCGGGTTCATTCACTCGCCCGCTAGATCAAATCTATCGGATTGGTTTGTGTAGAGAACCCTTGACTGATTGAATTTCTATATCTGTGATGAGTGGTTCAAAGTGCATCTCAGGTGTAGATACTCTGGGTCGACTGTGTAGGGCGAGGTGCTGGCTGCTTGACTGTGTACAACTGTCCACTTATGATTCTAAAGGCCACTTGTGAAACCTTTGCAGAAGTAGAGGTTTCTGTGAAGCACAAAGTACGGCAGTGGATCCCTGCTTGCGTCATTGATTTGTAAGGTTTGTGTTTTTCTTGGTGTTACTGTTATGAGCAGGGACTCCTCTCATCCAGGGTTTGCTTTGGGAGCTTGCTACAGGGGTTCAGAAAAAAACATTTGCTTGAACCCCCCTTTCAGGAGTCAATCCTGTGATGGAAGATGTGTTTTTTCCAGAGACATGGGGACATCCACCGTTTTCAAAACGAAGATATCATCCACCGTGTGTCGACAATAAAAAGGATGACTCCGACATCACCTGAGGTGCAGATTTAGTCCGGGCTCTCGGTGTCGACGGTCAAAGCATCGAAGACGTGGGAATGATGGTGGGCGGTTGATCTTCGCATGTCTTTTGCGAAGGGATTTGTGGGAGGTTGAGTTTGATCGTGAATACATGCAAATGACTGGCCATATTGCTTATGATGAACGCGACAGGTTTTGGGTCATTCATAGCGGGTAAACATCTCCACTGGATTCGGTGAAACGGTATTCCATTTGATATACCAAGCAGGGCAATGGAGAGGCTCTCAGCAGCCACGACCGAGAAAGCACTTAGAAATAGATGTTTTTTGAGGGGGCATTCTTTTCAGGAAGAAAACTAACTAATTCTACGGTGTTCAACCTTGATGATCTTCCTCCAGCTCTGATTTCTTGGAATCCTTCAGAAGCGTGATAGATTGAGACCCCACATATTCGGATGGGGCCCGAGGCTCGGATTTTCCCGATCTTCTATACACCCGAAGGCAGTTCGAGGAATAGTCTGGAGGGCTTCATTGGATGGTTTGCAGCCAAAAAAAGCCCCCCTGTTTTTCTCCCCCTACATGTCCACAGAAGGTACCATGTGATGATCACATATCCTGTATCGTTTTTCTCCAATTGATCGGTTGGATCCTTCTCTTTCTTCGACTCCACCACGGCAATCGGCCCATCCGGCCATCATCCGGTGCCCCCCGTGCCCCGTTCGGCCCATGCCGGTGTGGCGCGGCGTCGGGAGGCCGTGGAGTTGGAGGGTTTCACGGCCAAGGAGGTGAACTTGAGCAAGCTGGAGGAGTGCCACCGTGTAGGAGCCGTGTCCGTGAACGGCAGGGGTAGATGGATCGATGTGATTGATGTGATGATGTGATGATGTAGCGGGTTTTTGTAATGTTTTTTTTCCAAGTTGGCGGGGTATTATGATGTATAGTATAATGATATATAATGATGATATAGTGTTTTTGTAATGGTCTTATCCAAGTTCATCCAAATTCGCGGTGATGCGAAGGAGGGCAGCTGCACCACCACGGATAGGGCATAGGGCTGCTTTTATATAGTTTCAGGGTTCAACTGGTGTAGGACTAGGAGTTCTCAGATGAACAGTTGAACAGTATAGCAAGTGTTCATGTGAACTGGTGGGCTTGGGTACCTACCCATGCAAATCAAGAAAGGACTCTCTCCCAAACCAATGTGGTACACACATCCTAAGTTAACAACAGTTTGGACATGTTTGTTTTTGTCTCAAGTTGCTACACAACAATGAATGGCAAACAACAACAACAACAACAACTGGATGCTGTCACGGTGATACCCAAAATGTTCAATTGCATGCTGCAAAACATGCAAAAATGACTAGTACCAACTTGCGAATTCCAAGCACATCCACATCCACGACACATCGAAAGCCCCTTTGCGCCTGGATCTCTTCTCCCTGATTCGCGGTCGCCGGTGGTCACCAGGTGGTCACCGGTGGTCACGGTCGGTTGCGAGGACCAGAGGATTCACCTCCATACAGCGTCAAGAGAGGCGAGCCTCCCCGAAGCGCTGAGTGGATCCGGAGTGGATCCGCGGCGTCGAGCGGTTGTTGCGTCGGCGTTCGATTCGTTCGATTCGTGTCGGCAAATCGTCGAGCGCAAAGCGTTTGAAGTGATTCGTCTGAAAGCGCTCATTCGTAGTCTCTTTTTTGGGGGGCTGTGTGGTTAGGGCCAGTTGGTGTTGGATCACAGTTCTCCTGAAAGAAAAAGACGGCACCGACCTGTAAAATCTGTAGATCAGTCTTGTTGCTCAAACTATAATTTGGCCCGGAATGCCTTACACCATACCAATTGTATAACCCGACGATTTGTTTTCCTGCCTCCGTGCCACACATATGCACGATACCAGATGGCAGCTTCTCTCGGCTGCGCCACGCCGACCCTCGGGAGCGCGGCTCCGCCGAGCGCGGCTCCGCAGGCCCTCTTGAACTTCACCTTCCGGGCCAACGACCGTCCAACGACCCTGAAACGGCCGGGAGATGGAGAGTCAAATGCGAAAGCGGACGAAGCAAGCGTCGAAGCCGCGACAGCGGCTTCCACAAAAAGTCAGTTTTCCTCAGCAAATCTGTCACTGTTGATCACGAAACAGATGCGGCTTAAAATCGTTAGAATACTCCGAGGTACAGCGCAAGAACTGTCTTTTTAAAACCATATATTGCCCCCCCTTTTTATATCGTTTTGGAAGCGCGGCCAATAGCCACAGGCGGTCAATGGTAGCTTTTGCGACCTCTTTGCTCGAGAAGTGAAGAAACTGAGTTACGGCGATGCAGAAGTGAATCGATGTTTTCACCCACTTGGTGTGTCAACAAAAAGAGAAATCTGCATCATTCATGGATATTCATGGGTCATTCATCTTGCTCTCAAATTGGAAGAAACCAGCTGAGTCTTGCTACGCCCAGAGACATCTCGTCACTGCCAACGCGCCACACGTCCACGGCCCTTCCGTTGAAACCGAGGTACCGGGGTGTTTGTGTATAAGATTTATGAAGATATGGACATGAAAATGAACAGATTCTCTCTATGCTCGGGATGTCAGTCTGCCATAGAGGAGGTGGGGGGGTTCGTTGAGTTCCTGAAAGCCTCCAGCAGCTTCCTCACCCAATCACCTGCTGACCCGGGTGGGTTCACTTCGAACACCATCTCTGAATCATTCTGAATCTATCACCTGAAAATATCCTGAAATTCTATTGTATCTTCTATCACCATATAGCCAGGCATCCCAGGCATCCCGGCCCCAGCCGCATCGGCCCACCATCGCGTCGCTGCGTTGGCGCACGACGTGGCGAAATCGCCAGGTTCTACTTCACGCTCTTCGTCTCGCCCCTTCGCGCGGTGCGGCCGCCCGAAGCTTCCCTCGTCCGCGGAAGCTTCGTGGCGCGGAAGCGGCGCGGAAGCGGCGCGGTGCCGCCCGAAGCTTCGCGTGGCGCGGAAGCTCCGGCGGAGTTGGGAAAAGCACCAGTCACAGAGTTGGGTGGTGCTCGTCCCCATCCAGTGGGTGGAATTACCCCCGTCGTCGGACCCCGACATGGAACTTCTTTTTGGGTCCGGGTCTCGATGTGTCCGAACATGAGTCGATATTTGGTCCTTGAGGACCCGGAGCTGGTGGTACATCTCCCCAACCTAAGGTTCAAGCCATCTAATATCATCTACTTCATGTTTTAGGAGAAATTCTTAGGGTGAAGCAGTGGAGGCATCGATAGGTCGCGGACCAACCACCAGGTGTGCTGTGGCATTTTGTTTGGGATGGTTTTTCTCCAGTTTAGGACGTCATCACTGATTCGATCACAGATTCGATCACTCCTTCTCAATCATTTCAGTACACCAACCCAGTGGATGCGGAGGACACATGCGGGAGGATTTCTTTTCCTGGCGGCAACACCGGTGATGAAGACCTCCACAAAATGAAAACACTCGGAAAGCTCGACATGGTTTTACCATGTTTCAAATGATCACTTCCAACACCAACTCGGAAAACCCGACATGTCATGTCATACTCATACACTCCATGGGACTGGAATATATATGCCTACATTGACCCCCCTGGCACCACCCCTGGCCTGATCGGAAGTCCTATGGCAGTCCCAGACGGGTCGTGTCGAGTTTTCGATCTGTCATACCGCCCTCGATTCCTTTCGAACTGGCGATGCCCTCCATGCCATCACACGCTCCGTCCAGGTGCGTGTGTGGAACTTCTCCCGGTTCTGCTGGGCCGGAACCGCCTGGAAGGGGGTGGAGGTTGGTCGCTCATCGAGGTGGCAGGCTTGACCTGGCAGGTGGTCATTTTCAATTAAAGGCTGTTGTGTTTTTCGTTCCAAGTGGGGTACTCGGGGTACAATCTGGAGGAAAAGCACCAAAAACGCTTTGACCTCAATTTTGCAAGTCTTCGGACAGACGACTTCAGGATGACAGACGACAGGTGAGAAGAGGATGGTGTAGTTGGACCGTGGCCCAAAGATCTGTTTAGGACAAGTGGGTGTGTGGCATCCATATGAGCCTTATGAACATGGAAGAACAAGCGGACATGGTTTTGTCCCAAGAGGACATACTGGGCAAGTCGACGATCATCCAAGTTTGCGGAGAAATTGATCTTGAGCACCTGGTGACCCTGGTGCAGGGTGAACAATGGTGAACATCTCAGATGGATCCATGCTATCCAATGCCCAGTGTGTGGCATGTACATAGTTTGATGAATATAATATAGATGTACCTCGTTCAAGAGTATCAAGAGTCCTTGAAATATTGTATGTTTTGGGACTCTTCATACTCTTGATACTGGTGCACCATGGCGGCCCCCGAATCATCCCATGCGATGGGAGCAGATCAGAAAATCAGTTCTACCAGCAGTCACAAGACAGGGTGTTTAATGGAGGGTAGGGTGCCTATTATCCACTCACTTAGGGACTAAACACCACCCGTTTGTGACTGCTGGTATACGTTGTTTTTTTTTTTTGAATCTTTATGTTTAAATCTGTTTGACGGTTCTCAATCAGTTCTACTTTCTCCAGAGTTGAAGCGATATTGAAAATCATAGATCTATCTAAACCTGGACCATCCAATGGGTGTCCTGGCTGGAGATCCCTGACCAGTGTAGGTTAGTCCAGATGGTCGGATAGTGCTATGGGATTCGTGAAGATCGAGGCCCAAAGAGGCCCATCGAATTCCCTACCTAGCTCACCAATGTACGAACTTCACCTGACAAATCCACCCACGTCAGACTCATTTTTGCGGACGTTCCAAACTCATTTTTTGCGGAGGTTGAAATCTTTCTAGTGGTCGTCGTGGATGTCTCTAAGCCGAGCTTGCCAGAAAGGCTGATTGACTCTGCCTGGAACTAACATGGAAGTGGACAACCACCTGTTAGTGGATTTCATGGTCTTCCAACGGGGCCATTGTCAGGGTCCATGTTAGGTTTTTGGGGAGTGTATAAGCAAAAGGGAACTTTGCAATACAGGAAACCCCCTGGACCCCTCTTCCACCTTTCCGATCGGCAAATCTCCTTTCCGATCCTCAAGACTCAGCGGTTTCTGCGGTGGCTTCTGCGTGTTTTTCTTGGGGCGGTTTCCGCCGTGTCTGGGCGTCTCCATCCGAACCGTGGATCTCTCTGGGCGTCTCTGGGATCATGGGTTTCCACCCGTCTCTGGGATCAAAAAAAAGTGAATCACTCAGGATTTGGCCTCCGACGTGGAGCATCTGAGCCAAAGCGAGGCCGGTTGCGGATGACATGGGGTTGTAAGCCGTAAGCCAAATAGGGCCATTTCTTCAGGGATGAATCGGATCAATCAAAGATCTTTCAAAGACAAAAGCAAACAATGAACCCACATCTGTGACATCAATCTAAATCCAGGTACTAGGTATGGTGCACTACCATGGGAATCGATCCTCATCATTGGTCAATTTAGTTATTTTTGTTTGTTTAATGAACACCTGGAGGCAATATGTAGCGGTTTGATCCCCAGATGGGGTTGTTTCAGATGGGAGACTTGATTGGAGACCATGCAACCAGTGGGTCTTTGGTGATACGGGGAAGACATCTTTGAAGGTCAACATGGAACCTAATCGCCACTTATTGAAGAAGAAACAGAGTAAGAACACAGAAGTGAACACAATATAAAGTATAATTAATACAATATGATGAGATGTACTCCCAATGCGGGGAGTACATCACGTCAATGGAGATCGGGGATTTGTGCAGAATGGGGATCACTCCTGATTTCCGTCTCCTGACAAAATGAGTTGTTGGTTGTAAAGTATCCCCTTGGAAGATGACTTTGACTATCGACTACTCACGAACGGAGAGCTTCCAGCTTCCAGCATCCACCTGAAGGATCCAGATTCGGGCCTGACGTGTAACTGTCAATGAAGCACTTCTTCAAAGATTCGGGTTGATCCTGGTTTGACGGAGACATCATTCATCTTGTATCTTAGCGAGAAAGTCCATTTTGCTGTTCCAGTGAAGGAACAGTCCACCATGACAAACATGGGTTATATCCAGCTACTGTAGCAGCCAAATGGTTTGGATAGACAATTAACCTGCAAAGGTCTTCTCGTAGTGCCATGATCTTTTCATGCACTTTTTGTAGTTGCCAAATGATATAAGTCGTTCGATTCTAAGTCCTTATCGCACTCGAGGCATTGAGGTTGGCATTGAGGTGGGCATTTGAAACGGTCGTACCTCCGTTTCGGCGTTTCTCTTTGCAGCCTCGGTCCAAGTGAAAACTGGGCTGCAGGTCCACCAGTTCAGCCCTCCATCACCAGTTCAGTTGCAGTTCGAAGATCGGAAGGGAGAGCCTTGAGGACCTGCGGCTTCCGCTTTGGGGCCATAGAGATGATGAATCTTTGCGTTTGGTGCTTCATTGGCGCAAGCGTCGTGTGGGCAGATGAGAGGCCGATGAAAAACAGCAGCCTTTGTGTTTCGAACCGTGGCTTGCCTTACAACAGAGATTTGTGCATGTGGTATGGCCGAGACAGAGGATGTAATTGGCAAGAAGGCGCTTGCCGCTGTATAGAGGGTGGAGTCTTTTGGAAGAGTGCTCGTCGATGCTGGACCCAAGGGCAAGGCGCCACTCAAAGTACAAGTCCACCACAGCCGCTTGCACCCTTGCCCATCGCCAACGACAGCGTGTGTGTCTCCAACAAGGGGCGTCCCTACTCCAAATCCGATTGTGATTGGTATGGTCCAGAGCTCAAATGCATTTGGAAGAATGAGATTTGCCAATGCGAGAATGGAGGAATCTATTCCAAGACAGGACGTAAATGTTGGCCGCGTGAGGAGACGACCACGACCACCACTACAAGTCCACCTGCACCACCCATGCCGCTCAGCAACGGAAGTGTATGCGTCTCAAACAAAGGTCGACCATACACCAAAGAGCTTTGCGAGTGGTATGGCCCTGCCCGCGGGTGTATCTGGCTGAACGAGGTTTGCCAGTGCAAAGATGGCGGAACGTACTCAAAGACAGGCCACAAGTGTTGGCCAGCAAAGCCGCCCAGCCCTGAGACAACCACTACGAGTACAAGTCCACCACCCTCCTTGCCGATCGCTGATGGTAGCTTGTGTGTGTCCAACCATGGAAAAGCATACAACAAGGCTAACTGTGATTGGTACGGAGCACCCAGAGGATGCGTTTGGCTGCAAGAACTCTGCCAGTGCAAAGACCACGGCTTCTTCTACTCCAAGAGTGGCCGGAAGTGTCGGCCGGCGCTGACCACACGCCCACCTGGAGACCTGGCGAATGCGACGTCGGCGCGAGTTGTGGGGATGACCGACACCTGGTAGGTTGACCCACAGCCATGTCTCACTCCACACTGTCACGGATTTTCGACTTGCACACCTAGAATAGAAGATGAGACACGAAACCGGTCACTGTCAAGTTTCGTGCTGTTATTGTACTCCATCATACTACCCTTCAGGCCGACGTGATCTAAGGAACGCATCCATCCTTCTTCGACTGGCTGGTTTCGTGGTTCCCAGGACCCCAATGGCTGAATTGGATCCTGGACATCATGATTAGCATCCTGGCTGCTTCACGGACCGGCGTTGCGCGCGCGCGCGCGCGCGCGCGCCTGCGGGGACAGACCTGCGGGCCTGCGGGAGGATGTTTTCTGCGTTGAGGTTCTAACTGTTCTAACTTCCATTGATTGCGACGGCTTTCACAAGTGCGGGCCCACCGAATCAAGAGGCTCATCTGTTGCAATGGCGAGGCATATTCTCTGTGAGAACTCCTGAGAATCAGGGTGCCACAAAGAAGGGATAGAGAGTCTCCATGCGTATCAGAGCGCCAAGCATGAACGAAGACGCCGATGGGATGGCCAGGGGCACGACTCGTCCGGGTTCTTCCTGACTCGGTCCTTGGGCCGCCTGTCCTCATCGTCGCCCTGTGCTGGGTCCACCAAGGCATGTGCGCGTGTGGAACCTGTGCATATCCCTACCGCCGACATCTCCAGCATCGGTTGGTGGATCGGATGGGCCGGGCCGGTCTTCTCCAACTTCAAGGCACTGCCAGGGAAGCCATTTTGGATGCTTGCCTGGATAGACTCCACAGTAGCGCGCTAGTCGTTTCTACAGTACGCATGGGATCCTCTTATATACCTGGACCTTCCACGGGTGTTTTCTGCCGTTTGGCGAAACAGCACAAATGTCAGTCGTTTGCCGTCAAAAACGCGGTTTCATTTCAAAAGTGCCGTTTCGATGTGTTTACAAAGGTTACCAAACTAGCAGTTGGCAAAGGTCGCCGTTTGGTCGGGGAAAGTCGCCGTTTGGTCGGGAAAAGTCGCCGTTTCAAGACCTTGACATACCATCGAAAACATGGCAATGCAAAAAGTGCTTCAGTATGCTTCAGTACATAAATAGTTGGCGTTTGCTTGAAAAAGCAGTTTTGATTGAAAAGGCAGAAAAAAAGCATACTTATGAAGACCCAGGTATATATATAGCTGTTATAGCTCTGATGCCTTTACTTCGCCTGCAGGAGCAGTGGTGTTACCCCCACTACCGCCTATAGCTGCCATCACTCAATGCGGTTGTGCTGTGAGATCTAAGGATCAACGTGATCAAAACCACGTGGAAGTTGTTGGCGTTGGCCCTTTGAGCATTCCATCGCCCTAGAGCTGTCTTCGCCACCGTTGGCACACGCACACGCGAGCCCGTGCGTGACAGAAAACTGAGTTTGTTCGGGTGTTGGGTGTTGGACTGTTGGAGCATATGGAATACACAATGATACACATTACAAGGACTTGCAAGTGTTTGCAAGTGAATTACCTATATATATATAGTTACCAGGATCCTTATAGCTTTGTTCCTTCATGAAGGTTTTGGAGGGTCCTAGTTCCTAAGAAGGTATTTTGCTACATTTGACCTCTAGTGAGACAAGAGCTTCTTTAAGAACCGTCATCCGGTGACCAAACAAGACCCGTTTCACGCGTCCTTTGCCTGGAATGCTCAGGTGTTGGGGTGGACATGTGTTGAATTTGCCTTGGAAAGTGGAGACGTTGTATGTCATAGCCGGGCAGCTGTACCCATGATACGATCAGCAACAAAACTATCCAACAGTTCAGCTGAGCATGAGGGTCAATGGTCCGTGTTTTTCTTCCCAATTGCTTGTATGTGTGTATGAGAGGTTCTTAGGATGTGCAAAGCCCTTGCTAAGTTCAGAATTGGTGCATCAAAAATTGATGCATGATGCATATTGATTAAGCCAGAGGCCATCGCCATTAGGTTGGAGGCCATCGCTATTAGGCCAGTGTATGTTTCTGTGTGTTCTATTCAAATTACTCAGAGAAACTTTTATGCTCGAGCAGTCCATGGGACGATGCACAAGACGCATGTTCAACAGGTGTTTTTCTTGAATACGAAATGGCATTCGCAGGGGCGCGAAGTCCTTCTACGAAATGTTGGCCTGAGTCAAGGTGGAGAAGGTGTGGAATGCTTCGCATCTGATTTAAGTGACATCACATCTTACACCAATTGGTATAATTGGTGACATAGATGTGCCACATGGTTTAGTGACATCTGAAAATACGTGACACATGGTTTGGTACATCGCTTATGCTTCCATCGCATCGGCTTCCAGACGTTGGAAGACCGGATCCGTCGGCTGGAGGTGAAGCATAACAGGGTTCCTGCTGGGTGTGGATGAAAAGAGGATGACAGGAACTTGAATAGTACATGACATAGTATGTTCATAGTATTTTGTTGATACACTTGGCTCATTTGATGCACTTGCTCATAGGATGCCCTGCCTAAGGGTGCCTAGATGGCCTTCTCCAGCCTCGGTTTGTGCAATTTGCTCCCTTTTCGCTGGTCTCTCGACCTCGTGATTTCCTCGGAGACGACCTCCGATCCTCCCAGAGATCAGACTCGACCAAGACACGTCGACTCCTTGTTGACATATCCCAGACACGACCCATGGGACTGGCATATTTACCAATCAGGCCAGGGGTGGTTGAAAAGGGATCAATGGGGCGGCATATATTGCAGTCCCATGGAGTGTCTTGGAGTTTACATGTTTTTCGCCAAGTTTTGCGGCCACCATGGGGCGGTGAATCTTCTTGCGACCCACTGGAAGACTTCAATGCGCTGCGATCTTTTCTCTCCAAAAAGATCACTCCCAGTTCGCAGCGCGTCCGCGTCGCGCAGACCGGCGCAAGCGCGCGGTGAGCTTCGAGTTCCAAGCGACGAGCAACTTCATGGTGCCTTGGCCGACTCGGCGGTCCAAATCGTTGAGAAACCAGTCTAGAAGGGTTGACTACTTGGATTGGAAAGGGAAGTCCTCTGCAAAAAAGGAACAGAAAACAACTGACACATTGGATTGGCCATGCATATATAGCTTACTTAGACTTCCTGACGGATCTTGGATTGCAAGCAGTCTTCAGAAAGTGACTTGCAAGCAGTCTTTCTGTGGTATATTTCAGGATGGACTTCTTTGGGGTTGACAACAAATCACAGTCAAAGATGGCAAAAGACTCACACGTTGGCGATGGAGGCCGGTTCAAGTGATTGCACCTTGCACCTGCCTGAATTGCAGCTAATAGGCTCGTTGATTTGGCACAAGTCTGTAGAAATGACATGAGCAGCTTGGAAATCAGTAATTAGGATGGCTGCTGCGCGAATCGTGTCGGTTTGTAGAAACCCACGCAAGGGCCCTCGAGTCCACTGGCCAAGACCAGGGGTTTCGTAGCGACGTGAACACGTTAACGATGATTTGTTTTCATGGTGGCTCGGGTCTGGAAGTAGCCTAAGGGAAGCAGATCGATCCATGTTTGTCGTTCCAACAAGCCTGTCGTTCTGGTGTTTTCCAGGGACAATCTTGATCTGTGCTTCAGCACCGTTCAGAACACCGGAGATCAAAGATGGATCATGGAAATCCGAGCATCATTCTGGCTTGATGGGAACGCCGACAGATCAAAACAGGTTGTGGTTTCAGATATAGCCTGGATCATCCTGGATCTTCCAACTGTGACAATGTCTGCCTTTCATCCATACAAAACAGCCCAAAGGCAGACATTTGGCATAGTTGGAAGATGCAGGTATATGTTTATTGTCAACCTGGCATGGTTGAACCCACGTTTCGTTCCATATGTTTCGTTCTGTTTCGTTGAGCGTCACCCACCATCCCAGTCGCATCGCCGATCGCCGGTCACGCCGAGGTGTCCATCACCCAAGGTGGACTCAAGAAATGGTCGGGGCAGTCGGCGTGTATTGGGTCTGGAACTTCACCTGTCACAGATATAACAGTCAGTATACGCAATTTTGATCACTATGGAACTGAACCAGGCCTGCAACTGAAGCATCATCATCCACTGAAGCCTGGTATCAGGATAGACCCAAGGACCCAAGGTGTGTAATGGGGAGACCCTCGAGTCCTCTGGCCCCGTTAGACTATGCTAGACTAGTCGGTCAGGTGTCCGGTTTCCGGTGTCCAACCAACTGGTGCTTGCACCGGTCGACTTGGTCCTTACGCAGGGACGCCTCCTGGCATTCTTTGGAAACCCCGGGTCTCTCGTTCCCTCGATCGGGAGTACGTGTTTCACCTTCTTCAGGTCTGTTTGCGTCCCACGGTGTCCAGTCGGAATTGGAGGCTTCAAGGATACTGGTCATGGTGCCAAGAAACCATGCTTTTTATAGGCACTCTATTCTGGTCGTGACGGAGTGTTTTGTTGGGATCGTGGATTCCCACCTGTTTGTTGCGATGACCTGCGATGACCTGACGCAGGACCTTCATGACCAGGTCCAGCGTTTCTCCAGTCCTCGGTGTAGCTTCGATGTGACCTCGTTCGGATGGGTCGACGTCCCTCGTTCATTCGGCTCTGACAGGTCAGAGTCCCAGACTGACCGGTTTTGAGCCAAGCTGATGAAGATTCATCCATATGAAAAGGGGGTTCAATCCAAATGGAGTGGGTATAAATCAAGAGTCTAGTCTATACATGATGTGTTTGCTGTAGATCGGGCGTGATGGAATGCAGGGATCCAGCCTTCTTGGACCCAGCTGGGATCCATTCAGTTCGGATGCTGTGTTGGGTCATTTCTTCCCAACACCGGAAAAAACCACTCCGGGCCGAACCCGCCGCGGCACCGATCGGCCGGCGGCAGGTGATGAGGACGACCGAGGGATGGAGATGTTTTTCAGCGGCCAACAGGTGGTCAGCGAGGTGTGCGAGGCGGGTGACCTGCGCGGTGGGACGGCGAGCGGTCCGCCGTTCCGGTGGGATGAAGGATGCGGGGTTTTGGGGATCTTGAGGTGAGGGTTTTGGAGGCCAGATGAGGATAAGGTAGGTGGAGAATCTCGTTTTGGGATTGAAGATCAGCCCCGGATGGATCAGCCCCGGTATGCGAGAGGTGAGTGATTTGGCCAGAACATCAGATGAAGGATCACTCGTTATTCGGTCAACGGTTTTGTCAATCTTTCAACAACCTATCAGCCATTCTGAGCAGATGGGTGCTGATGGGCGTGTATGTCTCAAGATAGGGTTGTAGATAGGGAGTCTCGCACTGCTCAGCCGGATTTGCAGGTCGAGACAGGGGGTTCAGTGAGATGGATCCAAATGCACACACCAGCAGCAGCCTTTTGAGCGATGTGATTTCAGAAAACATGTCCGTAAATTCTGTTGTTTTGGGAGTTGTTGAGGGTGGTATCTCGTTGGTGCATGTTGGTGCATTCATTTTTCCAGCACTGGGCGACAAGGTCTCCGGGCATCTTAAGGATGGCATGACGGTGGAGATCATTCAAGGCACCCGGCGGCCAACCGCGTGCTTGCATGGACACCTGGGCGTTTGGACGCCCCGCCGGTTTCTCCGCGTTCTGTCGATCACAACGTGGACGATTTTTGGGTCTGGTGAACATCAACTGATCTGATCAACATCGCAACTGTTCACGTGAACAACATCGCCCTCAAACCACCTGAAATGGTCAACCACAGATCAACGAGAAATGGTCCCAAACTGAAACTGACACGTGAACAAGGACAGCAGATTAGTTGAAGACTTGAAGACTCACTTCTTCGGGGAGCCTGCAGGGGAGACGTGGAAACCAATTGGTGCGTCTCGATGAGGAGTCATGAGGTTTGTTTACTTCGACTCTCCAAACTCCTCACCATCCATGTAACCCTAATTATGCTACGGTTGCTGCACAAGATGTTTTAGCTGCACCACCTGGGGAGAACCCAGTTCCATTGAGTATCTATATTATACTATAAATATATAGATCGATCTATATATAATAAATAGAAGTGGTTCCAGTGTGCAGTACAGTCCATCAACAGATACTCTTTGTTTGCAGTAACAAACAACAACGCTGGAGATATCTTGCCACGCGCTGGGACACGCACCGGGACCGTGGCTTGTTGGGTCCCTCGTTTTGGAGCCATGCTCGTTCAACCACGGCCATTGTCTTCTCCACAGCCATTCTCGTGTTACAAAGAAAACTTTCACTTTCACTTGCGCACAGAGCAATCCAGCGCAGCACAGCGAAGGCGCGCCTTCGCTACAAAAGAAAACACCTTTGAACCACCAAGTTGGACATGTTGGACGCCTCTTGGTCCGCGCCTTTTTTTTGCCAGGTGAATTCAAAGGCTATCGCGGCAGAGTTCGCCTGGGCGACGGGCGATTCCAGGCCGATCGTCGTTCCCGTCTTCACGGAGTGAGAAGTGGCGCGGGAAGCGAGTTTCGGAGAACTCTTCGTCACAGCAGTTGACAGAGTTCTTTTTTCCTTTCTCTCACACTCACTCTCAAGGGCTCTCACTCTAGACCTCTGAAAGCTCAGAATGAAAAAAACTCTCACTCTCACTGTCTCCCCGTCCGTTGTCCCAAAGAGAGGCGACGTAGGAGGCGAGGCAGGTCGCCAAGACGCACCGACACAGCAACCTGACACACCTCCCGACACGCACCTCTGTGCCGGGCTGTTGGATTTGTTGGGGCCAAGACTTCACCATTTCAATTGAGGATTCTCTAATCCTCAGGTTCGGTGGGAACAGACCCCCCTGGCACCCACAACCACCTTCGAAGCGGAGGTGGTTGGAGTCCTATAGGCTATAGGCCTCCAATGCTACAGCATGTTACAGCATGCCACAGCACCAAACTGAAGAAGTTCCAGTTGCACCGCATTTGCAGGTGCAACTGGCCAATGGCACAAAGCTCCAGGTCCACCGGCTGTGGGGCTGTTGTTTTGGGTCGGGCAGATGGCGGATGTAGGTCTGCAGGATTGACCTCCCCATGTCCCCCATGTCAAAGGTGTGGGATTTGAGTATACCTCTCATGGATCCCAATGAGTTTCCATATGCTTTCAGCTGGTTGATTTGTGGTGGTGTGTGGTCTGGAAGGTTTCCATCGATCTGACCTGACCTCCATCCCCTGACCTGCCACCTCGGTTGCAATACGGTTGGCAGCGCACCAACAGGCCAGGCGCAAGGCTACATCAGGTGTGGACGTCTACTTCCTACCGTCCGACGGCAGAAATCGCTTCGCTTCCAGTCAAAGATGTTGCTTGATGTCCAGGTTGCGATTTGGAGTTCCACCTACTGCCCCCATCCATCCTGCGCCCATCCATTGGACCCTAGGGACCACGCGACCACGACGGCGACGCCTCGTCAGCGCCTGAGGTTGGAGAGTTGCAATGCCGCATCCTCGAGGAGGTCGGGCTGCCTAGAGCTCGGGCAGTTTTGGTGGTTTGGAGTTGTTTTTTTTTTTGTCTAGGCAGTGCAGAGTGTGGGAGTGTGAGGGCGACATGGAGAGTGGGTGAATCTACTTGGTCGTTTCTAGACCATGGTTTCAATGTGGTTGCTACACATACCAAGCTGGCAGGGTTAGGGTACTTCAACGTCCCAAACTTGGGAGTTGAAATGGATTGGATGAAGCCAAACTTCAGCACCTTAGATCCAAGCAATCTCCTACAGCCTGGGCAGGACTTGCATGTGCTGGAGTCTGAGTGGAAGGCGGAGCATTTGCAGCACCGCTGTGTGCGGAAGCCCGGCACTGCAGCCTTCCTTCTTCAGAGATCCCACCGCAGAGATGTTTGAAAACCAAGGCAAATCTTTGGAATAGCCATCTCGTTGGGTATATCCCTCGAAAGGGGATGGTGGATAGTTCCCAGCCAACGCCTGGTGCAATGTGATCTATTGTGATCTATGATATATTGTATTCTATTGTATTCTATTTTTGGATATTTTTGGTCATGCTCTTTTAACATATCCATTTGCGAGACTCTCATCTTAAAGTTGTTGTTCAGAGGGCCATTATACGGCTATTTTGGGGACCAACATGGGCTAACTCCCCAACATGAACACCATGCTAACCAGGGCCAGGATTAAGACATCACCGTTTTCCAATGCTTTCCATACCCTCCTATGCCTTGGTAGCGAAAACATTTCGACCACATATGTCGAACAAAACCACGGAGAACGCTTTGTTTCGACTTGAACCAAGAAAGACCTGGCGTTCATCTAGGACACCTATCCTGGCTAAACAGCTTACAGATTCCACACCAAGAGCCTCCTGCAGTAGCCCTAATCGTCCAGTCAAGACTTCTTCTTTGAAGACTTCGACGGACGCTGGATGCTGGAAACCTCGATGCAGGAGAAAAAACAACACGAAAAACTCGTGGGTGACGACTACAAGTCCATGAAAACACCTCTGAACATCTCTCCTGATGATATACACCTTAAGAATCTAAGAACCTAGAACTATCAACCGTTGTATATCTGTTGTTTTATCTGTTTCTCGATGGATGCCCGAGTGCCCGAGCTCTTTTCTCAGGAAGGTCTAGTGGATGCCGAGAGGACCTGCTCCCAGGCGGCGGTCCTCTGTTTTGGGGTCGTTGGGTCCTGAGCGAAAGATGTCACAGGTATGTTGTGGATGTTTAAACCGACGTCTATATTAACATAAATGTTCCCAAGAAGTCAAGCCGAATCATGCTTTTCTACGAACCAATTCAGAAAAGTGGGGGGTATCTCTATAATATATATATACTTGTTGACTGGCAGGGTCTTTGGTGGGCCCCCCCAAAAGGCAGGCACTCCTTTTTGGACGACTCCTACCGGGATGGTTGGAGAGGTCGAAGTGGACAGAGACATCGGAGTTGGGGTGGAACTTGACCTACCCAGACGCGACCCGTTTGACCCTGCGTTCAGGGACCGGGCCGTACCCGAATCCTTGGGTCAGGGGTCCGGACCTTCTCACCAATCCCGGTTTTGAGGGACCGGTCGGCCTGTTTGGAGCATCTGGGCGAGTCATGTTTTCTTCGGATGGGATGGGTTCCCCCCCCAGTGGACTCTTCGGGACATGGGATTAATCCGCTCAGGTGCGGGTCGAGTCACGACGACCCACGCTCGGCGTAATCGATCTTCTGTCACGGTCCGAGTCCCCTCGTCCGAGCCAAGAACAGAGGACCATGCGGTAGAAGCGTCGATCAAAGGGATGGTCAAACTATGTCAAATAGAAAAGCTTTGAAACTTACTAACGTGGACTCCTGATGAATAGCCCCTACCCATGTGGATGCTAAACCTTGTTCACATGGGGGTGTTATTAATCGCGCAAGAGTATTGATTATTTCTGAACATGCGAATTGCAAGCTTTCATTCTCTGAGTTTCTGACCAGGAATCTTCTTTTTTGGCCGGGTATGAAAGCGTTTGACTCATCCGAACCTCCCAAATCTCAGACTTGCTCCCAAGCCTGATTCATGTTGGGTTCAATGGACAATGGATATACCTGGACCCTCCAGTTCATACCTTAGAAAATGAGACGCGACCCGAAAAAAAAACAGGTACGACCGTACCCATGTTCGTACTTTAAGACCCCAAGGATAGTAATATGTCTTCTTTTCTTGATATTACCCAGACACTCCATGGGACTGCCATATATACCTACATTGGCCCTCCAAACCACCCCAACTGATCGGCATATATGTCATACATGGAGTGTTTGGGTTAAAGCATTCACCTTGAACTGTTGGGATTTCTTGGTGCCAACACCTGGCACCACGGCACGGGAACGCCTCCGCCTCTCCAAGAGCGATAGACCGCTGGCACACCAGGACGGCTGCACGGTGCTATTGGCGCCAGAGGTTTTGAGCTGTGAAGGCTATTGCCAGGCGAGGTTGGCAGGGCTGTTAACAGGGCTGTGGTTTTCCCTCGAAGGCAGGGCTTCGTGCAAAAAAAGGACATGCCATTCTGTAGCTGGAAAAAAAACCTTTTGGTGATATAAGGGTCCTACTCCTATTTCATATATTCATAGAATAAATCTGGCTGCCCCCGACAGTGCCAGCAGTCACATGTCGGGGTGGTGTTTAGTCCCATCCAGTGAGTGGATAATAGACACCCCTACCCTTTGGATCGCACCTCTTTTCTTAATCTTCTCCTTCGCTCGCCCCAACATCAGACATACTGTTATATGAAGCAGCCTGAAGAGAGAACCCAGTCTGGAAGCATGTTGTTTCTTACGGATCCCAAAACACTTTGTCCCTCCAAACCGATGCTTGCTCCATTCCGAAGGCACTCCAAGCAGTCCCGAAGGAAGTCACCGCCCAGCCAGGCTGTACTCGTACGAGGGGTAGATCACAGAGGTTCTGAAAGACGGCCTCCAAAGACATCCACAAATCCACACAAAAGACATCAAACAGGTTTGAGTTTGACTAGCAGCTATAGGTGCTCTTTGCCAGGAATGTTGATGGTTTTTTTCATCATGAATCATGGTTTATCCTAGGTACTGTATAAAGTATCTTTTGTGGGGGGGGTCATTTCCAGATCCTTATATACTTGGACCCCGATGTCAGAAAAAGAAGCTCCGCTCGTTTTCGCTGATCGCTCACGTGACCGCTCTTCTTCGCCTAAAAACACCGCAGGCTCACGGCATTCACTGCAACCAGGCGAACGGCAGACCTTCACTTTCTTCGTCTTTGGATCGGTGGAGCGGTGGGGATGAGCGGACATCGACACCTACCGCTGGATGTCCTTCCAAGCGAAGGTGGTTTTTGGACACCCCGGTGGACACCTCTAAGAGGCTATTTATAGACACCTCTTAGGTGTCGGTCCTGGTATAGGATGATTGACGATAGTGATTGGCTCAGTCCCCAAAAAGCCCCTAGATGGCCCTATATAGTCAAAAATTCCTTCTAGCTATACTTTCCGGAGTCAATCTATGGGACCGGAAGACCTACCTCGTTATTTGACTCCGGTTTCACTGGCCCCCCTGCCCCAAGCATGGAGTGTTGGGAATACACTCAAAGCAGCAGCATCTTTTGTGTCGCGATTCACTACGGAGAAATCTGAGGTGGTGGGTCGAACGTTTGCTGCAACAAGCTGCAAGGATCTATTGCTGCACATTTGCAGCTGAAGAGCTGATTTGAAACGTGTCATCCTCCGTGCGTGCACTGAACGTGCCGGTGAAGTCTCCTTGCCCACTTGGATTGCTCGACGTGGTTTTCTTGGGGCCTGAGGTGCCCGAACCTGCCCCAACGAACCATGTCCTGAAGAAAATTCAGCTCATCTCAGTTGTGGTCAATGATTAGTTTGGTTTGTGGAGCGCCTTTTCTTCCGGAATTTGGTATATAGATATTTGATGCCTGACTGCCTGAGCCCTTAAAGGTACGTAGGGAGTTTCTGATTGAAAGCAAGTGAGATGAGAAAGAGATGAAGTCAAAAGCCAAAGAGGCATTTGGGAAAAAGGTTTTTTTGTCCTTGAGTGCGCTTGATTTTTAGAGTATATATGCATTTTCTTTCTTTGCTTCTCTAATCTGAACTAGAACATATATGGTGTTCTATTCATTTCTATTCCCTCGGCATGGTGTTCCCTATTCTGGCATGGGGGGAACATCATGTTCTCAGGAGCATTTTCCTGTTTCCTGGCTCCCAATCTTTGCCGCTTCAGGCCTGGCGCTCACATGGAGACTCCTGCCATGGTGCCACGCCCGCCACCTGCGCGGGGGAGATGCGGATGAGGCACGCGTGGCCGAGCGCGGCGCCGGTGCACGTGGCCGGGAGCATACATCCTGGAAAGCCAATCCCCCAGCAACTTCGACAGTTGACGTGTGACTCCAACATGAACGAAGCAAATTCTTGTGCTCCCTGACATTGCTATGAAGGAAGCCCACATGTTGGCCATCCTGCAAATGTCCACATACTGATTCCAGATCAAAGACTGGAACATCTTCAGGAAAAGGATCCTTTCTTTTGAAGATCGTCCCGAAGATTTCATCAACGTACAACCACCAGCAGTCACAAAGGGGTGGTGTCCCTAAGTAAGTGGATATTAGGCACCCTACCCTCCATTAAGCCCCTTTGTGACTGCTGGCAATGTCTCTTTCCACTTGGTCTTTTACAGACGACCGGATCCTCTCAATTCTCGTTCTCCACGCTCCCTGGCCAGGGGCGATCGGCTGCTATGCCGATGCCAGGCCTTAGGCCTCAGCCGACTGGGACAAGAGGCCCGGGCGAAGCGTTGGCACATGACGTAGATGCCTCAGCAACAGAGCTTGAAGAACCCTTACTAAGTATAGACTATCCCAGTTGGGTACCCCAGGTGACGGGTCCTATTTACGGTCACTTAAACCCGGCAAGTCATGGGATGAATGGCATTGAATGCCTTCTTCTTCTGAATCGATCGCCGGGTGGTCCTTTTCTTGGCTTGCTTTCTCACGCTTTCTCCGATGTTTCTTCCACTTCCAACCGTCCGCACCTGCACGCGCCACCACGTCCGCACCGTCGCAGTGCGGTCGCAGTGCGGTCAGGTGCCTCTGAATGCGCATGTCTTGGTGGACAGACGCCTGGCGATGCCATGGCCAGCCCTAGGGATCGATTCGGGATCTGTGGAGTCCATCAAAGTGAAGATTTTCACCAACCCACAGGGTTTCATCTGGTTTCATGTAAGGGTTGATTTGTTGTGTTGATTTTTTGATTGTTGGGAGATGGATTTGCTAGCGACGAAAAGGGTCAAGCCATTGTGTCACTCGCCACACAAAAGGCACAAAAGACATCAAAAGACTCCAGCTTTGTCACTTAGGACACACTGGGGTGGTGACCAAGGGACCCGATCACGATGGTCATGTCCGAGCAGCTTGGCACGCAACTACTGTGACCAGGAACCCATAGGAACCTAAGCTCCAAGCCTTGTCCCACCAGGAAGTCAATTCCAGGGACTTCTTCTTTTTGTGTGCATCTTTTGCAGCAGAAAATCCAGCAGCTGACCTCGAACTGACACCCCTGTCTTGAAAGGAGTGATTCACACAGTACACACATCCATCACCATCTTCAGCCTTCACCATTCACCCTCGCCCGCACTTCCACGGCGCTTCTCGCTCCTGCCGCGCCCTATCTGCGCCACCAGGCCGTGCACACACCTCTTCCGGTCTCCCCCCCACCGCCGCACGTCGCGCGGTGGTTCGCCGCCGAACCGCCAAACCGCGGTCCGCTGCATTGGGCGTTCGGCGGGTTTCGCGCCCCGAGGTGAAGATGCCCAAGCTGCTGACCTTGGATCGACCCTTCTTCCGCCCGTGGGATGCGGACGCTGCGGCGCAGCCGAGACCGTGGTGGCTCGGCACAAGAAACACCGGACACCGGGACCGGGAAGTTCCGTGGATCTGGTTTTTGGGTGCGGAGTCACAGTGGTAGTGATGTTTTGAGCTCAGAAAAAACCCTCTAAGCTGGAACTGAGAAGGTATAGGACCAGCATGAACTTGATCTGAGCTGCTTTTGGAAGAGAGAGAGAGAGAGAGTAGGTGGTCAAACAGCAAGTACAGTTATATACTATATATCTTTGATTCGATGGACAAAGTGAGACTAACTGGCCAGCTTGATCCTGAAAGGCGTTCAAACAAGAATTTCAATCTTCAAGTCTTCTGTCTCCCGGTCTGGCATCCACCTCGCAAGCGCATGGGAAAAAAAGGTCTCCGTTATTGGGTCTATCTGTACTGTACATTACTGTACATCATTCTTCGGATTTCGATGGATTTCTATAGGATCTATCTACCTCAGGGGTCACAAAGGGGTGGTGTTTGGTCCCTAAGTGAGTGGATAGTGGGCACCCCTAACCTCCAAGTTCGTCACCCCGTCTTGTGACTCCTGGTATATATTGTACATAGATCATGTTTGCTTTGTGCCCACCAACAAATCATGCAGCATTCATGGCAGCCATGTCGACTGACGACGCAAGGCACGGTAGCTGTGATGAGCTGCGACAAGGTCCAGCGGGCAGGTTTTGGTGGATGGTGGACGCCTCCCAGGTAGTCTAGTCTGTTCATTTTCGGTGGTCAACTAGGCTCCCCCCGTTTTGACCCACAGCCCAAAAACTAGATCCACGGGAGAACTGTTTTCCATGGATTTGGGACATCGTTTCTCGTTTGTGGAAGATGGAACTCATGCTACTGGTACTGTTGATGGGTTTTCCCATATAACGCGACCTCCCCGGCACCCTGCAACTGAATTGTTGTGTTGTTTGGGATGTGGGATGCAGGATTTGGTCATACAATGACATGTTTTCTGTTTGACGCACTTTACTCTGAAATCCGATTATCTGGAGATGGGGTTACACTGCGGGTGTTCAGCACCTTGTCTTCCGAGGTGTCCGATGCGTTTTCAACTGCCCTGGTCATACCCATAACCGCATCAGGTCTCCAAGGCTTGAAGCCCTCAGGTCAGGTCGAACAAAGTAGGTATACGGGAAGTCGGCAAAACAGATGAATAACTTTGGGAGAAGGATTGGCTCTGAGGGTTGGGTGCAGAGGTCCTAACGTCCTATATATTGGAGCTGAGCAGAAGCTACTTCTTCCGCCAGAGGGCGGAGAGTGGATTCGTGAGGGGAACCGCGAGGGGAGCTACTTGGAATTGGTCTTCCAGTGGTTTAGGATATTGGTCCTCAACTGTAAGGTTCGTTGTGGATGGTGGCACGGGATTCAACGGCACGGTGCCCATGTGGGCCTATGTGGATGTGCCCACGTGACTGGTATGCCTTGATTCGTCAAACACTGAATCCCTAAGACTAGGACATCATCGAGTTTGCGCACCATCCTATTGGGACAAATGCAGTGTTCAATGCATGATTGTGGTGAAACCCCCCAATAGCCTGAGTGTACATGAATGAATGAAGAGATTACCATTCATCGGGGTGCGACTTCGAAGATAGCAAGAGAATCCTCCTCAAGGTCTAAAAGGAGATGAACAGGTCCTGGCAGAAGATTTTTAGATGTCTTAGGGGCTCGACACACACAAGTTTCTTACTGTTTTAAGCTTGAACTATACAAAAGATCTTCCCTTCTTCCCTGCAGATCAGAAACACCATCCACACCAGGGACCTCCCAACGTTGAACTCCCCAAAGACCGGGTTCCTCGGTTCGCCCGTGCGTAGCTCGCGCCGTTCGCCAGGTGATCCAGTGCAGCTCACGGAGGGCCACTTTCGCGGGCACCGCGGAGCCGTGGAGCGCTGCGACCCTGTCGCTGGGAGAACGATCTGGTGTTCGAATCGGTGGGGGGAAGGGGAGGAAGGGGAGGAGGAGGGAAGGGCAGATTGGAGCCAAAAAAAGGGGAGCCTTGACTTGGGAGTTCCTTTTGTGGGGGGGATTGAGGGAATCAACATTTCCAGCCAATTGTGTGTTTTGAAAGGACCATTGGAATTGAATTTAAGACGATTCATTTGTTTGAGGGTCAGCAATCAGGGGAAAGATGATGGGGTCGTGGTGGGTTCAGGGTTGGATTTCCAGGAACTGGTTCCACTGGTTGGGTGGGTTTGGTTCCACCTCGCAGTGCCATTTCTTGGCCAATAATCATATATTTAAACTGTTCCGATCGCTTGGGAAGTGGGACATTCGCAACATCCAAAGCCAGCATCAGCAACTCATACACCTGCGACCCTGGAACCCAGACCCCTGCTTTGATAGGGTAAAGATCATATGTTGGGTGGTTGGTGGTTCACAGATGTTCAAAGTAGAGGTCACTCGGGTTGCAGGACCTTCGGTTTCCGCCGACCTTCTGACGCTCCGGTGGTGGACGCGGCCTCGCCGCGCCGTCTCAACAAACATGCGTGGCCTTCGGGTCTCGATCCCACAGGCCATGTCATGGCCATTTGTTGGAACACCTACATCAACCAGGACCTTCCAAGAGGTGTCTATAAATAGCCTCTTAGAGGTTAAGAGGTGTCCCAAAACCACCTGTTGGAAGGTGCTGGAATAAGGATGGTTGAAAAGGTGGAATTGATGCAGATCAAGAATGAATCCTTAGTCCAGTCCCAAGGAGCCTTTGCAAAAATCACTGTAAATCATCCATGGTTCTGTTCATGTTCCATCCTCCGCTCCGACCTGCTCGCGACCTGCTTGGCCGGCTTGTTTTTCTTGGCTCAGGTCTCAAAGCAATACACGGCGCCTGGGCGGGCGAAAGCGCCGTTGGGCGAAATCGGCGCGACGGACCGACGGAAGTCGGCGGCCGTTGACGGACCTGTTTTCGCGTTGGGCGTAGCCTGAAGTGGTTGAAAAAACGCCATGAATCTCCAATCTTCCAATTCCCAGACACGACCCGTCTGGGACTGCCATAGGACTGCCGATCAGGCCAGGGGTGGTGCCAGGGGGGTCAATGTAGGCATGATATATATGGCATACATGGAGTGTTTGGGATTGAATCCTGTTTCATCCATTTCATCCCGCTCCCCCCAGCGGCTTGCTGCGCTGGCGCTCTCTCCGTGTACATCCTGAGGTGATTTTGGATCAATGGCTGCACGTCAGCGCCTACAATCTGGTGGTGTTGCATTGCAGCGCCTTGCAGCCCCTGGGCTCGGCGATTGGCGGCGATGGCGACGACCGAAACGACACAAACAGCTGTTGGAGTGTCGGTGGAGCGTGCAGTTGAACCAGAACATATAATACTATCGGGTAAGAGCCTGACAGCTTGGAAGGAACAGGTGTTGCTCACCCAAGCCATGGTGTTTTTTTTCTTCTGCATTTGAGTGCGCATTCTTCTTCGTGCTTCGCGTGTCCAGATGTTGAATTCTTCTTCCAAGCTCTCGGAGAAACAAGACTGCCCGTGTTCGTTTGAGCAGACCTGTGGACCTGTGGCAGGTGACCATGTGAAGTTGACTCTTCTGGCATTGCATGATCAAAGGCTGCAAGATCGCCATTGGTCAGTTCATGTCATGTCATGTTATTGCACAACGAGCTGTGATAGACCTGTTGGACATGAAGGTGTGCCACCATTTTTTCCTGCTGCTTGCCATCATTACACATTGATATTCCAACTGCAAAGTGTATGCCTTTTGGCTGGTTTTATATAGATGAAAAGGCACAGTTGGAAGACCCAGGTATCATATTGATTGTCAGTACCTTTGCACCTCCACCATGTCAAACCTCATTTCGAAATAAGTTATCCCATCCAACATTTTGTGTCACTCACTCATCCCGGTGCAACACGCGGCACGTCGCGTGCAGCCTGAGGCCCTTGGGGCAGAATTGCTCGGAGGATCAGTGTCAAATCCGTCCCCATAGCCATCGCGAGTCCTGTGAGCAGTTCTGCTGCTTGGCAGAGAACGTGGTATGGGACATACCCTTTGAGAAGGTGATGTTCGACTCCTGGATGTCGGCGCCTGGGTCGGGTCCAATCATCGTACCTCAGAGGGTGGCAGTGGATCCCTAGGGAGAGTAGACCACCGTGCAGTTCTGTTGCTCGGTTTGGGACCAATTCCGGGTGGGCGACCTTCGACGGTAACCAAAAGCATCCTCTCGGCAAACAGGATATGTACCAAGGATTCCATGGACCATCGGATAGTTTTTTTTTCTTTTCGCGCTCTGTCTTCCTCGGGATCAATTGAGTCGATGTGTTTTGTTTACCTTAGGGATCCAAATACCTTCTCAAATGGTATTTGGACCCTCCTGGAGCCGAACCATCAATGCGTCGAACACATCACAGTACCGGCATGTGGATCCTCTGGGTTAGATTGTTCCGTGTAGACGTGCATGGTGTCCGTCGATGGTGGTGAAGGAGTTCTTCGGTTTGAGGAGCCTAACAAGGATCGCGGGATCCTGGAGGTTGAATTTGGGGTCCTTGTTGCACTTACAACTGATCCTTTGTCCTATTCTCATCACTGGCTTCATCATGTCATCATGTTATCAAGACATGAAGCTCGCTAGTGTACTCTCACAAACCTTCAAAGCCGCGGCACCTTGTCAAAGCCACATTGGGACACAAGCCAGCTGCACCGTGGTCAAAACCACCCGAGCCAGGCGACCAAGACGTAGACCGAGAAACCACCGGCACCGGTCGTCCAGGTCACGTCACTCACCGTGAGTCGAGTCCCGCACCGGTCGTCCAGCCGACGCTCGTCGTGGCTTTCGCTGCAAGGTCATGCTGCAGAGATGCGTTGCTTTCGCGCCTGGCGCGGCCAAAAGGGCAGATGTGACATGGACCAGCCACTGCCCTGCAGTGCAGGAGACGAGCGAGTATGGGGAGTACGGCGAGTACGGTGTGTGTCCATTTTTGTTGGTAGAATTCTTGGGGTTCACTTACTGGACCAGAACACGACGATGTCGGGGGTTTTCTTCCGGATTTTCGCAAACCCGTGACTGGAATGACTGGACCTTACGTGTGGGAAGGGCTTGGCAGGTTCTTGTGGGTCGCTCAGTTCTTTCTTCAGGTGTTTCGCGAGGGGTAGGTTGAAAAGACATATATTGTCGTCGATATATTGCACACTGAACATAGATGATAAGCGTGGTACTTCGAACATGTCTCCAAATCAGTGCTTTGGAATGCTTCGGGCGTCGGAAAATGGGGGAAAACTCCTTCATTTCTGGAGGCTCTTCAGTTGACCGCTACAGTGGTCAAGGTGCCTGGCCAGGGTGGCTGAACATCGCACTCATCGAACCAGGCCTGACACAGTACTCATCGAGCCTACTGGAGGTGCTTTTCGAACGCATCAAACGCATCAAACGCCTCTCGTCGTTCCCTCGAAGGAGCGGGAACTGAGAAGGTGTGCGAATGCGCGCCGGATGTCTATGCCGGTGGGAACTGCTTCCGGTACCTGGGCAGCGGTGGTGCAAAACGGTGTGGGATGTCCATGGTGTCCGGGATATTCACCAACTGAATGATAGATCACTGTAGACCTTGATGCAGAGAGTTCTGTCTAGAGAAAACCGTATAATTACAATGTCTTGCTTTGCTGGTATGTATTTTGTTGAACCTGCAACATACTTTATATATAGTTTTCAATATCCTCCACTGAAGACCAAGTTTCATTTTCGGACGGTGAATTACATGATGAACTGATCCTGGGATTCAACAAGTTGAAACATGCAGCTTAAGTGTGACTTCTTGCAAGAGTGTGTGTGTGTGTTTCTTTCCTCGAAGCTGAAAGTATTGCCAGAGTCCATTGTTCTTTAGCACTAATTCAATTAATTTTGTTACTGTTTAGAAACACCTCTATTTCTCAGAGGTGTTGTTGTTGTTGTTGTTGCTTGCTTGCCTTCCCCAAACTCCACAGCTGCTAGATCAACATGAAAACATATGAAAACAATATTGTGGTATTCTGAAGTTTGAACATGTTTGAAGCATCTTGAGACCTGCACTTCATGGGGTTCTTCTGCATGTTTTTTTGTGCAAAGACGTTCTTGTGCCTTTGGACCGGGCACGAATCCACAGAGTGGAGCACATGTTTCATCAAACAAGTGCTTGTTTGGCGTCCCAAGAGAGGTTGAGATATCTTATACGTAGGACCCTGTAGTTGCACATATGGGATGGGCGAAAAGGGACTGTTTGTCTACCTCGTCATCAACACAACATGGCGATCCCGTCCTGCCACGGATGTCCTGCCGTGGATCAACAACACCCTAAGAACAGTGCAACTTGGCTAACTCGGCCATGCTTTCGATGCGGTCAGGTGCTGTGAAAATATCACCGCCTTTCTTTGTCTACCTGGGTCATCCATACCTCGGTGTCCAATAGGCCAACCCAGTGCTTAGCTAGACTGGACCTCCATGTCCAGGACACCCAGGTATATCATACCTCCGATCCTGGGACAATACCTGGTCTGATTCTGATCTGATCTGCACGAACCAGGCATGATCTCAGCTACGAGCCTCTCAACATGCCGGGCCAACTGAGAAGCCACGAGCGCTCGGCAAAGGCCTGCGCCGAGCGCTGCGCCTCGGTGCTGGGCTGCGCACACTTCTCGTACTGGTCGGATGGCGGGTGTCATTTGCAGGAGAGAAACGGAGGGAGGGAGGAGGGCGGAGGAGGATCTGAAACCAGACTGTATAGAAGCTATAGACTTCATGAACCACAGTTCCGGTGATAGACCTCAGTTCCGCAGTCAAACGCCCACAGTTCCGGTGATAGACCTCAGTTCCGGTTCCGCAATCACATCGGCGTGACTTCCGCCGACTTCGGATCTGCTCGACTCGCAGGACCGCCATGCTCGCCTGCTGGGGCGTCCCGGCGTCGTCGTCGGCCCCGGTGACTGCCTGGCCGCAGCGGCGCGAGAGAGACCCGCGGAGATCGGGGAGACGGACCTGTGCCAAGCGGGCGTGAGCTACAGGCAACGCCGTGGCCGGAGTGGTTTCTCATAGCCCAAATTCCTCTAACTACAAGTTCACATCCTGATCTCCTGGATGATTTCAGTCTCAGAAATCGTTTTTTATTATTTTTTTCGACGCTGAGATCCGAAGATTGGAACGAATCGATCAGAGTCTACCAGCAGTCACGTTCGACGGGGGTGCGATCCATGGGGGTGTCCAGGACATCCACAGCCCCTGGATGGGACGAGCCACACCACCCCGACATGTGAATCTAAGAGTCCATTTAAAGATTCTTTCCTAGGGATCCACTGCCACCCTCTGAGGTAGGGTGAATGGAGACACTAGGAGGGTACTTGGATCCCTAGGGCTTCCTTCTCCCTTTTCTTCCTTCACCCGAGCTCGGTGGGTGAGGCCGTTAGACATGGATGGGCAACATCGAAGCCACGAGCCTGACCTACAGCACTGCGCCGAGCGCTGCGCAGCCGTGGCGGGCTGCGCACACTTCTCGTACTGGTCGGATGGCGGGTGCCATTTGCAGGAGAGAAACGGAGGGAGGGAGGAGGGCGGAGGATCTGAAACTAACCAGACCGTAGGGAGGGCTCCAGATGGTGGAGACGGGAGGGCGGTTGGATGGGCGAAGGCAGTGCCGGGCCTGAAAGGGAGCCCGTGAAGAAGGGACACCTTGTTCGGTGGATCTGATCCCTTTCCACAGCAAGGACTCGGATGCCAAAGAGCAGAGCACTTTGGGCGCCATCGCCGGGCATCCCAAGTGCCAGGCCGGGGTGTTTGGCCAGGTCGACAGGTCAGCCGCAGTTGAAAAACTCGCTATATGTGGATATTGAAGCGTCCAAAAAACTTCTTCCCTTTCAGCAGTCACAGCGCTCGGGGTGGTGTTTAGATGTGTTTAGTCCCCAATGACTGGATGTGACAGTGGCCCCCCCTGCCCTCCAAGTTCGCCACGCACCGAACGTCGCGCCGGTGGACTCACGCTTCTCTCACGGGTAGAGACCATCGTTGATGGGGACTGCATTGAACACAGACACAGGTAGGAAACCACATTTACGACCTGTTTTGCCATGTTTTGCCCAAAAACTGGTCGGTCCAAGTTGGTGCAGCGTTCTGACCTTGGCGTTCTGACCCTTCCCCCATGCACTCTACTTTATTAATAATAGTGTTTCTTTTTTCCACTGTCTACCTTTGAACATCTTAAAAGGAGCGCGCAAATATTCCACCAACTTGGCGGAGCATCGTCAAAGAACCAAAAGAACTTCAATCACGTTCATGAATGGCTTGCCAACTCGCACAATAACCAATCATGTGGTCGCAGAAAAGTCCTCGAACGACCTCATCGTTTTTCACCCAAGACTCGAGTAACCAGCGTCCTGGACTTGGGATAAAACAACAACGTCAGGACTGGCATCACCTGGGGTGGTTGAATGATCAGGGGTCAGCTGATCGGCATCTATTCCAGTCCCATCTGGTCCAACCGAGAAGAACCGCAGCGCCGCAGACGGACTCCGGGTCCAGCTCGGCGACCGTGCGCGGAGTGGCAACGACGACCACGGCACCAGAGGAGTTCCTTGGTGAGGAGATCCTGGATCAGTTGGATCAGGTTGGAAAGGATTTGGGTGAAGCACGTGCTTGGTATGATCACCCTCAAAGTATAGATGGATGGTAGAAAACGAAGGACTTGAGAACTGTAGTGGATGTCATTTCACAAGCCTGTACATGGTTGGATTTAGAGGGCGTGGTTCTTGGAGATTGATGGGTTGTGGCGGAGGACCGGATGGGTGCAGAGGCAAGTTATACCCTTTGGATCCCTGTGGGGTTGTTTATCTTTTCAAATTTTTGAACACTAGGTCAAAAAAGATGAGGTTTGGCTATACCTGGATGTTCCAACTATGCAACAGTTCTGTTTTTTTTTGGGTCTTTTTGTTTGGTATTTTATAGACGAAAAGGCAACAACATGTTTCACAGTTGGAAGATCCAGGAATTAATGCTTATCGATTTACAAAAGATCGTGCTTAAAAACAAAATGGTCATATTGGTAATATACAACATATAAACCTGGAGTTCACCTGTTTGGTACAACTACGGACTTCATGAGTCATCCTGTTTGGGTCCGGTCATCCTTCACCATCCTTCCAGTGGTTTGATCGTTTGATGGCACATGACCAGTGATTTCCCAGTCGATGGTCCAATCAGTTGGGTTCGATCGATGCTCCGAACCAAGGCCAGGCGCTCGAGCGAGCGCGACGGCTCGAGCCGCGCCGAGCCGCGCGGCCTGCGCTGGGCTGGTGGATGTGGTGCAGTGCCTTGGGGCGGAATGGGATGGCGCGGTGCTGGTGCTGTTTTCCACGGGGCCGTGATCGGACGACTGGATGGGCCGGATTGAGAATTGATGTTTATGGGGGTTCCATTTGGTGGCTCTTTGGGAGAAGAATCTGGAGCGGTTCGGCCTGATTTTAAGGGATTGCGACATTGCAGACAGACATGACATATACCTGACATATAATATACACCTTTCAGATGACATTACGCTGAGACAGTTAGTCTTTGTCTTCCTGCTTGAGGGTCTGAAACTGCATCCAAGTGGCCAAAAGCAAGGGTCGAAATGCAGATTAGGCACCTGAACAAATGCTGGATGCTTCAAGACTGTTTACTCTGTTGTTGGTATGTTTGACTGACCCAACCCAGCATTTACACAACCACTTGGATTTGACACACCAAACGGTTATGAAGGTCTGTAATAAGTCTTCAAGTAGTGTAGGGTAGTCCAGTCATGTCCAGCCAGGACACCCAGACAGGATGGTCCTGGTATACAATCATTATCCCACTGGAACCACTGGCTACCAGCTATAGTGGAAACTGGATCCCTGGGCATAGTTTTCCTCAATGTCTTCTTCAACATATGGCCTTTTCTGTAAGAAGACCACCTTCAGTAGACTCAAGAGAAGGACCCAGGAGAACGACTGGAACCACAAAAAAGAATGCGTAGCTCTGATTGAGCCTTCGCAAAAACAGGTACTGTTCTGCATCCAAAGGTTGCAAGGCCGGCGACAGATACGGGTTTCAGTCGGTGTTGGTCGACTTGGTGTTTGAAATCTGGGGCATTCAACGGAATCTCCATGTGGATCGTCGATCCCGTGGTGTTTTGGTCGGTGATGTTCTTGAAAACCCCAAACGCATGAAAAGCACCTGCGTCTTGGAACGCGTGCCATGGTTTGCTGGTGTTGATTCTGAATCATATCCGTTTGGAATTGGATCAGCTATCCAAAGCCATGGAAGCATAGTTCATGTCGGCCGAATGGAGATACCCAGAGATAGTGCGTGTATTCTCATTGCTCCATAACTTAAGTGAGACTTCGCACTTCCGTACGCTACGTAAAGGTAGGTTGGATTCTGAGTTTGTGGATATATGGAGTCCGACCATTTCACTTCTGAGCTCAGTGTGAGACCCATTCCATTCCCCCAGTGACCCTGGAGGATTCCGACTCTGTGCAGATGTCACAGCGAAGAACGGCTGCTTTCCCATTTGTGCAGAGCGGGATGAATGTGAGTAGCGGATCGATTGTAAGCTGAGAGAGGGAGAGAGAGAGAGCAATAGCAGCGGCAGGTGGCCTGTTTCTTTTGTCAGGTGGACAAGCCTGCCCGGATGAGTCCATTGAAGGTGACATGTTTTTGATTGTTTTTGTTTCTACAGTTGTGGTCCGAACTTGGTTTTGCTTGATCCTGAACTTCCGGTGCGTTCACCCCGGACCGGCGACGGGTTCAGGCCACTGTGCGGCGGATGGCTCAAAGGTCCGGAGGAAGGGAGGAAGGGAGGACCCCTCGCCGTCCACGACCCGACCCTACGGACCCGTCCGGACCCGTCCGGAACCGTCCGGCCGTTTGGCGACCTGACCCGTCCATCCACCGGAGGGACCAGAAAGGGCTGTGACCGGAGCGTTTGGGTCTGCAGCTCGGAGTGCTTTTTGGTGTCCAAAGACTGAACGACGAAGGATCGACGGGACTTTCCGTGCTACTTGCGATCGATGAAGCTTCACTCTTCACCAAATTCGTCCGTTTCTTCATTTCCAATCTCATGGTAGCTTACTGCATGCAGGAGCAGAGATGTGTGACTTATCACTGCTGAGAGTGGAACATGTTGCGTGCAACTGCAGTTCGCGATCTATCCCAGAAAGGTCTGGTTTCATTGAATTTGGAACCAATTGCAGATCATTTTGGACGCAAATCGCCCGCCATGTCGTTTGCAGGTCTTGCTTCGACTACTGCGAGCAACTCAGCTCCTCGTGCTCTCGAGCCTTCATTGGTGGCTGCCATGGAGAAGAGGCAGCGGCGTTTCAATCAATCGCACACGGGAAAGAATGGCTGCCAGTGTTTTTTTCTTCGGTCGGTTTCTTTTTTTCCGGTTTTCCAACCTTTTGATGGAAAACTGTGTTTCTGGCCAAGTCTCATGAAACCAACCTCTCTCTGAGCCTCTAATTAGAGAAGCTGTGAGAATTCGCCTGGAAAGAGAAACATCAAGGAACCCTTTACAAAGAACACACGCAGAAAAGTACAACACATCATTAAGCATTCACAAAAAGAACAAACTGTAAAGTGGTGAGTTGATGCATGTCATTTTATATGCACGAAACATCGTGAAATCACTGACATGTTGCGACTCACCAGGTAGACTGTGACGAGATCACCGGTAGCGATGCCATGACCTGCGCCTTGGTGAAAACAGACAGCACGGGCCAGGGGGCGGGCAGCGGATGCCATGGAGAAAGCTCGGCTTTAAGAGGTGGCATGCCAGTCAGACACATGGGGTGAAGGTGGGTCTCCCCCCCAAAAGATAGCAGTCAGACTGGGATTCTTGGAAGGGATCGTTTTTATATGTTTTCATGGCTGAAAGAAGCTTCAGTCACTTGGCACTGAGTCGAGCCTGCCTTCGATGCAATTGTTTGCATGCGTCATGGACACATCAAATATCATTTAAACACATCCAAGTTCCGGACATTTGTTCATCGAACAAAAGAGATTGCTGTGCCACATCAAATCCACTCTCATCAAATATATCATTAAAAAGACAAAAGCATAAACATCTCATCCAGTCCACGCCCTCGCCGCTTTGCTCCACGCCCTCGGCCCGGCATGCGGACCTCGCCACGACCTCCCTCCGGACCTTCACGGACGACGTGGCCCACGGCGTGGCCGAGGTCACTGCCACGGTGGCCGAGCAGATCTGCGACGCTCCGAGGCGCAGGAGCTGCACCAGTCGCAGGAGCCTGGCGTAGGTCGTTTTGGGGGGGGAACCAATTCCCCACAGCCCCACAGCGTCGTTTTGGTTTGGCTTTCATAGTTCCATCATGTTCCAAGCCAAACGCGGCGATGGGTGGTCGTTTTCTGCCAACGCGCGTCTTCGACGCATTGGCAGGAAGAGGTGCAGACATGGCAGTTTCATTGCCATGAGGGCAGTCCCAAGACATGGGACATGGAGAAGCGCTGGTGGTGTTGACCCTTGGCGGCAGAGGGAGAAGAGACGCAATATCGAGGCAGTGCAGAAAAAGAAGTGGACCAGTGGAGAAGGGTGTCGACCAGGACGTACCCCAAGACGTTGAGAAACAGCATGGGGAAGCCGACCAGGCAACAGCTTCCTAGACGGTTCGGAATGTAATTAGCCTAATTAGACTGGTCGTCTGCCCAGCCATGGGGCGAGTGGCCAGGGTGTCTCCCTAAAGTACACCCATACCCAGACACGACCCATGGGACTGCCATAGGACTGCCGATCAGTTGGTGTGGTTTGAGGGGTCAATGGGGCGGCATATATGGCAGTCCCATGGGTCGTGTTTGGGTGTCTCCTTGTCATGAACAGGGGTTGAATCTGCACTGCATCGAGGTTGAGAGTAACCTGAGAGTACAGGAGTTGGACGCACATATATATATATATATTATATCAGAGTTGAGAGAGGACACATGCGTTTCAAAGCACAATTGATGTTCACACAGCGTTGCCCGCCACCCAAATCTTCCTTGATGCTTCTCGAACCTAACTCCAGCCAATCACAGAGAGAAGAAGACATGCCAAACTCGAGGAACTCCGAAGAACTGTCACAACTTCGGCCAGGTTGTCACAATTCGGAACACATCCCCGAAGATTTTTGGAACACCTTCCCAAAGACACTCGCTGCAGCGCGGCGGAAAACGTCCCACCTCCTCGCAAGGTCGGGAGCTGGAGATCGGATGTGGTGCCCGAAGCTGTTGGCAAGCGCAGCACGAGGCAGGTCCGGGTGGAGGTGGAGGATGGACCGGGTGGACCGGTGGTTCTTCTTTTGAAGAGGGCGACCGGGTGGAGTTGGGATGGTTCATATGGGTTTCAATGGTTTCACTGGAGTGTGTGTGTGTGTGTGTGTTCTGTTCTTCAGAGCTCATTGATGTTCATGTGGTAGGCGTTTGGGGGAGGGTTTGCAGATGCAGTTGATGCAGGATGCTTAGGCTGTGGAGCCTTTGGATTGATGGGAAGAAGTTGATTGGACCACCAGGGTTTTGATGAGAAAAGTGGGAGACGTTTGCTTGACCATCTCGTGGATTGGGGTTGGTTGACTATTGCAGTGCGTCTGCCAGCAATCACCATTGATTACCAATGTATCTCGCTGAATACGAGTGCAGACTTGGATTTCAGGTGAACTTTTCAGAATCTGGGTGGGTTGTTTCCAATGTTTCCAGGACGAAACAGGGTCATGCATCCTTTGCTGATTTGCAGGTCTTTCGCTCAACAAAGCTTCATGATTGTAGCCGCGCCCCAAAACCGCTGACCTCGCCAGAAAGTGCAAGCGCTCGACTGGTGAGGGTCTCGACTGTCGAAGGGTCGCTCGAGCTTCCTTTTCTTTTCGTCCTGACCTTTCGTTTCACCTCCCACAACCTCAGAGAGACGTCTCTCAACCGGTCGTTTTGTTCTGCTCAGATTGAGGGTCCAGTGGTGCAAGAAACCCCGTGGTGTTGGACGATGTAAGAATCGGCTTTTGGGGGTCCAAGAGAAGAACTCTTCGGACGCAGTCGCTAGGACCTCGAGGAAGGGACCAGGGATCTCAAGGATTGGCCATTTGGGCCTCTTATAGTACCAACATCCCTACGATCTAATTACTAGTACCGTGGTGTTTGATCATCCCGACGTACTTTCACGATATGACTCCGATGGCTGATACTGGAAATCCTATCCCGTCTCGGTACTGGGTCCGTAGGTCTGTCAATGTAGACTGTTGATGAACCAAAATGTTACTTTACTTTGAGTGATCCCCACCCGGAGAGGTGATGTGGAGGAAGGTAGGGCACCTTTATTGACAGACTAACCTGACAAGGGCGGACGCGGATGGACACAATGTTCTGACGTTTTTTCTAGCATCAAGTCTGGCTTGTGCCCGGACACATTATCTATTATAAAGGCTGGGAAATGTTCTGGACGGTGTTCTGACGTCCTTGTTGGCGTGTCCCGACAATTTCCTGCTGGGCTGTGGAGTCTGACATGTGCTGTGACATGGTATTGCGACAATTGTTCTGCCTTCAAAGAAAGTGTCTATCTCAATATATATATATATATATCCTGGCATTCTATGTGGCGTGTACTCTGGCATGCTATTTGGCATATATTCTGGCATATGGGCACACATTCTTACATTCAGCATTTTATCTGGTATACATTCTGGTGTTGTATCTGGCAATTAACTTGACATTGTATCTGCCATGGCGTTCTATCTGGCGTAAGCTCCGGCATTCCATCGTGTACATTTTTGACATTCTATCTGGCACATACTCGGCACATCTGGCAGTGTATCTGGTACGCGTGATCTAGCGGCAGTGCCCACTATCTAGCGCTTGCCGTTGAGGTCCGGCGGTGCCCACTGATGCCTGCGGTGCCAAATGTGATCTAGCACTTGCGGTTAAGGTCTGCTGGTGACCACTGGGATCTGGTGCTCGCGGTTGAGTCCCGGCGAGCACTTGCGGTTGGGGCCCGGCGGTGCTCTCTGCCATCTAGCACTTGCGGTTGAGCAACCCTCACCTGATCTACATCTGTTCAGACCTTTGCTTGGAGTGAACATTATGTGGCCGATGTCAAGTGCTCACCATGTTTAGCTGACTTCTGCGCCTTTTGTCCCGGCCAAACGGGCATCGCGGCATCACTGTACGAATCGTAAGTGAGACTTAAGTTGGTCCAAACCACACAGGCTGTGAGGTCCCATGGGAGAGGGTACTGACCATGTTTTTTCCACTCCTCATTTTTCACAACTCCTATGGTCCTATGCCCCTCCATTTGACTAAAGGGGTGAGTAGCCTTTACGCCAACAAAACGTTTCGTCTATGAGGGCGACTTGTATTTGCCGTCGCCTGGAATCTTTGGCCAATCCACGGCAGCCGCGTTTTTCGTGTGTACACGGAGTACTTTGCAAAGGTGCGCTGATTAACCCTACCGGGTACCTACCGACTCTTCTTGTACCAGCTCATGTCTTAGTTTGCGAGAATTCTATTTTGACCAGTTGCGGCTGATGCTGGTGCCAGACTTGAATGTGAGACTCCACGCTTGTTCGTGTTGTTGAAGTACAGGTGTGACTCCACGCTTGTTCGTGTGGTTGAAATATAAGTGTGCACCTCGTCGGACCCACTCTCATTTGACAGAACTTGCGTGTGGCGCAGGAGGCACTGCTTAGAAAAGTGAGGATTTTCTTGGAACCTAGTGAGAAAATTCCCTCTTCACGATGTTTGCTCTTGTGTTCTTAGCGAACGGGTTCGTAGCAAACTTAGTTTTTGCTTAGCTTCAATGGTTGTTGGAGATGCCAAGCAAGGTGATTGGGTCATCTGGAATCACTGCTGTGGCCATGTTCTCCCAAATTCAATCTCGATATCCAAAGATTGCGGAAGCCTTCGCGGCGCCAATTCCCTTTCCAAATGGCTTGTCGGGGCCTACGGAGCATCAGCTGCACGAAGGTGGAAAAGGATACCTTTGGAGTACGCTCAAGCCCTGATCGACTTTTCGCAACCATGCAAAATTGTTTTCATTTCGGCCCAATTGTCACTTGAGCGGTGATGTTGCTCGATTTTGCTAACCGGTTTTTGACCGACTTCAATTTGGGTGGACTTAGTGGTTTCTGTGATTCTTTCAACCCATTCAACCCTTCTTCTCCTTTTCGTGTTTGGTTTCTTCTTGTTAGTGCCAGTTTGGAGCTCAATGCTGACACCCAAAAAGACTCCATCGAATTAGACTTTGAAAACTTTCGTAGGTGCCCTGTCCCTACCAATCTCTCCGTGATCCTCACACTCGCGATTTGTTTCTTTGTTTTGCCTTTCGGGTCTCGCACGGGCCAGAGTCTTCTACAGAAAAAAAAGAGGATGATTTTTGCGCATGGATTTTTCAAAGGTTGGATGAAAGCACTGGTGACGTTGGATGTTTGCACATGTTTTCAAAACCATGTTCAATTGCCCTCATGACAGGGCGATTGGTCCATGGAGAACCGCATGTGGTGTGGCGGGCTGAGAAGAAGCAAGACCTAGCAATCCCAAACAGTTCAACACAGTTTTGCTTTGCAACCAACTTGTTTATTTTGTTTTTGAACCCGTATGCGACCTGTAGCAAGCTGAGCCGCATTTCATGTTTCGCTCAACTGATAGCAGAATCAACCGGGCAACCGTTCGTTGGTGTCCCATCCCCGGTGTTGAAACGCCCCTGCATGCTCTATCAAACGACATTGTGGTTTGCATTGTCTTAGTCTTGTAGGATCAACTTGTTGGAACATCCGCGGTTTAACGGAAACGGTTTTTCCTTTTTCACCGGGGGACATTTCGATCCCAAAATTGTTATGTAATATATAATGAAGAATTGATGGATATGAACGACACTTGACATGGTGTGTTTTTTTTTAACAAAACCGCTCACCAAAAAGGAAGGTGAATATCATTTGCCACATGCAATTCTACACATACTGGGTGCTGGCCTCGATTTTTGATCCACAGTCGGTGATGCCGGATGTTTGCAGAACAAAATGGAACAATCATTACCCGTACCAGCAGTGAAGAAGACGGGGTGCGTGCCTATTGGAGGGTAGGGGTGCCACTGTCACATCCACAGCCCCTGGATGGGACGAGCCGCACCACCCCGAGATGTGTTACTGCTGGTGTACGTGGAACCGTTTGGCCGGTTTATGGAACCGTTTTTTGGTTCCTTGATGTTCATTGTCTCCTCACGGTGACGAGTGCGTGGATCATGTCAGATCCGACCAAACGCCGGATGAAACCGCTAAGGAGCAACAAAGCCTCAAAGCGAACCCATCACAGAGTCTTCCGATATCCAAAGCTGGCACATATGATCCTCCAACCTCCAGTCCATCCCTCTCCTGCCCCCGTTTCGAGGTGGGAAAGCACCTTTTGTGCTGTCCACGGCTTGCATGACGTGACGTCACTGTTGGACACCGCCAGAAGCAGTCTCTTCTCAAAGCAAACCTTTGGGCCAGCAGCGGCCAGCCCGTCTCGCGAAGCCACTTCTGAAAACCGCATTCGACAGGGCCAGCCTGCAAAACGGGGTTTTGGACAGTTCCAATTTTTTTCTGAGCCAGCTCCACCACACGTCGCAAGTGTCTAAACATCGCTGTCGAAGCATGCCGGCCAGCTCATCCCTCACAGAATGCCCATAAGGCCACAACCCACAGGCCCAGCCAACTTCCACAGATCGCTTGCTTGCACCCTGAAACGGGCTGCCGCACTATTTGCACCGTTTTGAGCCGGTTGGACTGCTGCACGTCCTGCGGCTTCAGAAAGCTTGAGTTCGGGAAGCAACACAAACACATGCAACACGGCCTCCGAGTCACACAGCCTTGCACGGCCCCGCTGGTTTTCGTGTGGCCTAGATTGCGAGTTGTAATTCTTGTGTTCCTTACAGATCTAGAGTTGAACATGTGAGATTCCCAAAGGAGAGTGACAACATGTTGCTTATCGGAGCACAAAAGCTGAGGCTGTCGAGCACAGCAAGTGGGATGCGACCATGAAGAGGCGCAGCGTCGTTTCGCCCAGGTGGATTCCTTTCGTGTTCCACGAAGGGAAGACACATGAAGCCACTCGCGACATGTTTTGTGAGTTCGTTTCACTAGGTCGCACGGAAGGTGACCGGACCAAGGTCTCAAGAAGTCTCGGTCTCGGTTTGTACCGGACTAAGTGCGCCATGAAAATAGTACATCTAAAATCATCTAAACATATAGGAAAGGATTCACTGGAAGTACCAGAAGCCGGGATTGCTGGTGTAAGATGCGCATCTCGGATTGTTGTAATTTGATCATCCCAAAATGGTGTTGTTTCTGTTTCTTTAGGGCCTACATAAAGTTAGATTTCCATGTCGACATTCAGATGTGTTTTTCCGTGTTTTTGTTGCTTCTAAAGATCGTCCGGTGTGATCGTTGAGGTGCACCATTTCGACTGCAGCAACGGGCTCCGTTGCCCGGCAACAGGAAAGGCAGGACGGAAAACCGCAGATGTTAAGACTGTCAAGCATACCTGTAGTCTGTTGATAGAAGAAGAAAACCAGCCTGTTGCATGTAGATGCATGTAGTCTGTTAAGACTCTTGATCGTCTGTAGATATTTTCAGAGCTTTTACAATCCATGGTCGATGTGACCCTTGGTGCCCTGTGTAACCTGCACCGAAGAACATGGAGGTCGATGACTGCCAGTCTCCGCATTTGGACAAAGACAAGACAGGACACTCCAAAAGAGGTACTGTTCAATTGTGCTTTCAGCCTTTAGCAAGACGGTTTTCTCAGACTGCGCAGCACATGCGCGGTCATTTATATATAGATTAATTGAAATATTATAGCAAGCCATGTTCAAGCGCATGTATGGAATCTACATTGGGATAGTCAACACAGTTGCACATCAATGAGGCTTGTTTCTGCCGCGATCCTGTCAAGCAAGCTTGATGGTCTTCTTGAGGGTTTCCAGCACAGCAGGGCAGTCGCAAGCGCAAGGCCGCAAGGCACTTCTACCTCTTCGGAAGAAAACACGCATGGCCGAAGATGAGCTGTTCCGGACGTCGAACATATTCTTTTCATATGGCTGTGGATTCTCAAAACCTGGAGCCCGTTTCACCCTGGTGGGTGACCGACCGGTCAGGTGGGAAATACCGGTCAGTCTCTTGGTAGAGCTGATCCACCGACTGACTCTGCAAGACTTCACAAGGTGAACACAGCCAGTTTATGGACCTTCACCTGTAGGGACTCCAGACATGCGGGGCGTAGCCAGTTGGGCTGAGGCAACTGGAGGAACGGCTGGTCACCGCTCAAGAAGAAGTACTGCTGCAAGCGGGAGACGCTCGGAGTGGGAAGCGGTGGAGTTGAGAGCATTGCGATCGATGTGTGCTAGGACCTAAGGAGAGCTTTTTTGGACACTTGATGACAGCTGGTGATGACAACAAGATGTGGCTAAGATCGGCGAGGCTGTTTCTGGCATATTTTCGACCAAAAAAGGTTCCTCAAAGAGTCTTTTTTACAGCGAGGTGCTGCCTTGGGTCAGGCGTCCATTGTCCAAAGTGAGTCTAGAAACAGCTGGTGGTTTTGGTTCGCGGCCCTGTCACGTACGTCGTGGTGGCGTGGTGGGGTGGTAATGACCTGCTTTGTAGCGATGTAAGTATATAAGGATGTATAGTTATATGTACCTCACCGTGTTTTCCTTTGAGTCTTTGTGTATTACAACGTACTTCTTTCAATTACAAATTTGTTTCAATACAACATCCAGGTATATAATGGCCTTCAAGTGGAAGGAAGAACACTTTTCATGAAAGAAACTTGCGTGTTGAGTTACAAAGTGTTGCAAATTAAGAACAAATATAATGAACGAACTTTTGGCTGACCTTCAAGAACACATTCCCGAACTTTTTCTCTCACACTCCAAAAAAATGAGCGTTTCGCTGTAGTGAAACGCTTGACACAAGCATCTTCCTTGGGAAAACGTGGGGATTTTGATGCACCAGCAAAGACACTTCTAAAACAAACCTACTGTAAATACAACAAAGATCAAGAAAGAAGTCCACAGGCAAGAAAAAAACAAAAGAACCAACATATACAGTTGCAGGGAGGCGTCATCGGTCTAAACTTTCATGTTCTTTTCCCTCGCCATGACGGTCAAGTGAGGGAGCGTTTTTTATCGATTTCATGAACACTCGGTGCACCCGAAAACGTGGTTGCCTACTCCGCATCGCCTCCGAGGCACCGCGGCTGCGACGGGACGGCGGGACCGGGACCGAAAGCGTCCGAGCAGCGCGCTGCGAACGGGTACGACATGTGGTGGAACATGCCTTCTGACTTTGGTGGAGGAACCAGCTCTAAACATGTGGGACATGTCCTCATTATCAGGAGTATATAATATATAAGGTATGTTGAAGATGTATGTTCCATCCATGGCGGCTATGACATGTCCATCAATGATGATGCTGTTCAAATTTTGAGGACTGCACCTGCGAATCCCATCGTCTTGCAGATCTTGGTGACATTCTGGAACTCAGTTTGTGCAGGATTTCGACACACCAGATGACTTGAAGACATCACTATAGTCATTCCTGACCTAAACTCGCCTCACAAGATCTTCAGACTCAGACAACAAAATCGTACACATACACGTTCACTCACCTGCATCCTGGATCTATTTTCAAAAGGGTTAACCGTTAGTGGTTTCTAAAGGAAGACTCTTTTCTTCCACCTGTGCCACTGGGGCCGCAGGTGGCACATCGAGAAGAGGAGAGAACGCGGTCCTGTCCGCGTCGACACACCGCAGACGCAGACGACGCGTCGACGAGCGGTTGTGACGCGTCGACGATGCCATGAACACATAACGAATTCACCCGGGGGAAGACCATGTTCCTCAGACCGAGCCACTAGTGTTTTGGGCTTCTCCGCGTGTTTGTCGTTACTTGTTGTTCTCCGCAGAATCGCTGAGACGAGCAGTCACAGACACGGCGGGGCCGACACGACCTCCGTCCTCGGCGGTGCGGCGTCTTCGGATCCCAAGGTACAAGAGACCAGATCTTGGAGGGCGGTAGATGTCTTAGTGTGGTTCTTTCATGTTCTTTCCGGCTAGGGATGTTTAGTGTGAAGGTGTTAGGTTGAGTACAGCAGGAAAAAGAGGTTCTTGGATGTGATTCATCTGCCAGCTTATCCGACCGATGGTCACCGGGAAGCGGGGGAGCTTTGAGGAGATTGGGGTGATCCCAACGTCTTCAAAGGGCAGATTCTGTGGTCGTCTCAACGAAAGAAACGAAAGAAGGAGCTTTTGAAGGCCGTTGAATCCTCTTTTGGGGCAGATGATCATTAAAGCTTCATCCAGATCATGACCATGCCAATCCGGGCGTCATTGGGATCACACTGGTGACCCAAATCAACCAGCGACTGCTACCCCTTTTGAGTTGGTGAAGCTGTAAATCCGTTGTTCCCCTAGTTCCGAAGAAACCGGAATGATTGGTGTTGTCTTTCTGCCTTATATATATATATTATATCAGATTATCATTTGTCTTATTTGTGGTCTGTAATGATTTTCACATGCCGCGACTTAACAGGTCTCCTCTTCGTGAGAGCCATCGCCCCCAAAGATATTTGACTAGCTCTGCCAGGGTGGAGGGTTTTTCATCCCTTGAATCATCAAGGCCAGTGGAACACCGACTGTTTGGTCTTCGGATGTCATAGTGGAACCCACCTCACCATGCAGATTCGGCTACCGGGGGAGTCTCTTGCGGAGGGTGGAGGGTGGAGGGTAAGTTTGGGGGAAGCAGACCAAGACACTTATCCTGGACTCCGTCTACTGAAGCAGACGAAGCATCTTAAAGCTCGTAGGCTTTGGCTCGCCCGGACTGATCAACAAAGTGTTTGAAGGACCCAGCAAAACTCGGCAGTGGTGGAAGTGGTGGATTCATGAAGGTACATGGTTATAACTGTTATAACACCCATAATGGGATCAGATTGGTTGATGAGTCCTGATCAGTCGGCAACACCTTCAACAAAGAGATGCATCAACTGAAAACATTCACACCCTGCAAGGGCCAGGCGCCAGGAGAAAAACATGTATGATGTCACCCTCAGAGGGCCTAGGACTAGGACCCCCTCAAGGGCCTTCGCATGTCCGAAGCCTTTTTTACAGCCTTGCGTGGCCTTCCATGGCTCGCAGCATCCTTCATGACGTCCTACCCCCCGAGCTCTGTCGTGAGCTTTGGCTTCAGCACTTGGCCTGTGCAGTGCCCGGGTACAGGCGCCTTAACTGACGACGGACGACCGATGGGACTGCCCAGAGAATCCATAGGGTTTTGAGGGTCCTATAGGTAAGCATTGGGTATTTGGTGTACATGTAATAACTTAATAGATTTATGGCTGGTACCTATGGAGCCCACCATGTAGATGATTGTTTGACAATCCAGTCCCATGTAGACAATCCATGTAGGGTCAATGAGGTCCCATGGATTGTGGGGGGAGCATTTGGTGTTTTGGGGGATCAAATCCAGCAGTGTTGCAAGTTGCAACCGAAGATATAGATGACACATGATGACACCACCAGTCTTACACAGCACTTGGGTGTGTCTTACACACCCGGAAGATGTGCGACATACCTTTCTTTGGAGAGTCGTTTCCCTACTTTAAACAAGAACGACTGGAGGAGTCAGATTACAAAAGGGATCAAAAGGGATATCAACCAGGTACTCATTGTATCCCCGGACGACAGATAGGTACTATCATGGGAAACAAAATGACTGACGATTCATCAGTAAAGAATATATCTAAAGTCACTATGTCCTTTGGTCTTGCGGAAAGCTGTGTTCAACCGTAAGAGAGAGACCCACATAATCCTTCTCCCATGCGTATCACATCGGTCCTAGTCTTTGACATGGGTTCCAATTATTATACAATAGCTGATGTTCTTTTTCTGGGGAGGTCAAGCCAAGGCTACAAAGTCCGTTTCTGGATGCCAAACACGTGCTCTAAAAACTGGATCCTTGTCCTATAGGAATATCTCTGACCTCCGACAGGGTCCACGACCGACCACGGACCGAGCTGCGCCGAGCTCCAGAGGCCCGGCTGCACGGCGAGCTGTTTGGCCTCGGCGCCCTACTGGGCGTGGCCGTGCTGGCTTCGCGCGCGCCAACTGGCGCAGCGTGCCGCGGAGGACGAGTTCGAGGGATGAACAGTCGTTGGAACTGTCGTGGCCGTGGCCATATTTGGCCGGCCGGCCAGAGTCATCCGTCGCTATGGTTGCGAAAGAGGGGAGAACATCTTATAATAACTATCAGCGATAATTGTTGGGTTTCAATAGGCATCAAGAATCTAAGTTTCTTAGCCTCTCGGATTGTATGAAGCTGTTGGAATGATTCTGAAATCCCTCAGGCTCATCATCATCCGCAACACTGAGGGTTTGCATGCTTTAGGGGAGATGTCCTAGAGTTCTTTGCCGAAGCTTCTTGAATTCATGTGTTCAGGCTCACTTTGGTTACTCCAGGAAAGGCCTTGTCCATGTGCGCCATATTTGCCTACATTGGGGTGGTTGAAAAGGGGTCAATGTAGGCATATCTTCCAGTCCCATGGAGAGTTTGGGCATGGTTGCTGATGAACTTCAACATCCAAAACTCGTTGCCCTCCGGCCCATCGAGCTACGAAATAGATTCATCGAAGAGCTGCAGTGTTAACTTGTGCCTTTTTCCCGGACTGGCGTTCGGTGTAGGGCTCAGAGCCCGCCCTTTTCAGAGTGAAGCTGAGCAGACAGTTCTTCGTCAGGTTTGCGCCTATCCCAGGCACGACCGGGACTGGAACAAATTAAACGGTCTACGGTCTGCAACCAGACCCCCCAGACCAACCGTTCCCCGGACCGATCGGTCGAAATCAGACGTGGTGGACCGGGCGACCGGAGGACTTCTTCGATGACTTTGGGTCGTTATGGCCAGAGACCACCGTGACGGTGGGTTGGTTCCCTGGTGCTGGCTTGCCCGTTCACACTGACAATAGCCAGGCACGGAACGTCTTGATCGATGTAGGGTTTGGGTGTGCAATGGACTTGTTTACAGAACCAACATTTGTGATAGCACCATGCTGATGTTTGGATGGAGCCAAGCCTTTCTTTTTCTGGTAGCACGTTTCTGTTCATCAGGGTTTGGAATCTAACCTATCTCGGCTTTCCTTTGGATAGCCCAACCATGCCCTGGCAGTCAAAGACTATAAAAAGAATGGTTTTTAAGGGAACTGAAAGGAAACTTCCTTTACTCCAGCCGGTCAAAATATAGTCTTTGGACTTCTAGGGCATGGGGTTCCCATGGGCCGATCATGATCTGAACGAAAAGAGGTGACCCCTTGCAGGGATGGTTTTCATCCGCTGTTGGTGCTGGTCTTCTATCTTATCCACCCCATAGTCCAGCCCATCCTTTAGGAAGGTGTATTTGAATCAAAGACTATGTTTTCGGTGGAGAGTTAACAACTGAACTGTTCAATTTTTTTGGAAGCTATTGCATTTGAGCCTCTAATATCTATATAAGGTTCCTTTTCGCTCACTTTTGGCCGCCCCGTTCCTTTTGGGATCGTGCGGGATAACACTTTTTTCAGACAAAACAGACCACCTCCCCTTCCTCAGAGCGTGTCGCTCCGTGACATGTGACCGCACTTCCTTTTGACGATTCAGCGGTTGTTTTCATCGCGCAAGCTGGCTCAAGGACTACCTCTCTCAACGTCATGTCACGGTGGTGGTGTGGCTCAACGAGGTTGACGTGGATTTTCAAGGCCGGCGGAGTTCGTAGTCGGGGGTGCTTTGCCAATTGGAGTCGAAGGGCATCAGTGGTGCTTTTGCGGGGAGGTCCACAAGTAGGAGGGGTGGAATTTATTAACACGTGGTGTCCCAGCCAACCACCACTCAAAGGCAGGTAGCTCAATGTGTGTCTATGAAATGTCCAGGCTTACTTGTTCTGGAAAAGCTAGTACCTGCATGAGGGAGGAACTATAGTTCAACGATCTCCATGCAAAACCCTCTGAGATATATGTTGCCCAGCGACGGGGTTCCGAGTTCCGAGATCCCCTTATCCCAGACACGACGAATGGGACTGCCATGTCGGACTGCCTTCCAAACGGCCAGGAGTGGTGTCAGGGGGGTCTGTCTGGGGCGGCATGCAGTCCCCTGGTCGTCGTGTCTGGGTGATTAATCAAACCGAGCTTGGTTTTGTCCCGCTCTGCCGGAGCTTGAAAACTCATCGTTTGGCATCGTTGGACTGATTTAGGCGACATGTCCAGTGCACGGCGATTCGTTGAAGTGTCCCGCATTTGGACGAATCGGGTCGATTCCATTGACATTCCCATCCGGAGAGCAGCCAGGCGTCGCCGACTGGTTTTGGGTGGTGAATGTAGGCCATATGTACGCCACCATGGATCCTCCGGGATTGAAATCCCACTTACTTATGTAGAAGGACCGTGATCATATCGCCACGGACCGATCGCGAGTTGTAGATCCGTGATGTTTGTCCCGGTTGCGAGCACCCAGGGCATCCAGATACCATAGACGGTCACCAGTGGTTCCAGTTCGACTAAAATCGACCCAAGGAATACATGGTTCCGGGATGCACTGGGATTTGTTTCTTTCGGTCTGATGACAGTTTGTCGGTTTTCCTCATTGACACGGTGTTCAGAAGCGAATCGAGGCGGCCATTTCTTCTTTGGCAGCGAGCCAGCCATCAGGTAGGTGCGGTGGGTGGGTTTCGATGCACACCCCGAAGTCAATTCGTATTTCTATGTTTTTCTTGGATGCGATTCGTTCCCGTGTTTTACTACCTGGACCCTTTAGAAAATGGGACATGACCCGAAGATCAGGTACTGGTACCATCTGGCAGCCCTTGTCTGAGTCGAAGCCGATCTCGATCTGCTTCGACTCGATGGAACCGGAAAACGGAGCCCATCAGATCCGACCAGAGAAGCACTGAGCATCTACCTGCTGCGCTTCCTGTTTCCTGGGTGTCCTGTTTGGTGACCTTCTAGGGGTGGCTGGGGTTGTCCAGCCAGGTCACCCCCGCTGACGGAAGCAGCTGGTTTTTTCGCCTCACATGTCAACTCGACATGTCCGATTCCATGAGGTGATGCCTTTTGAGCCTTTGTGGTCCTCCAGTATCTTTTCACAGGCATCTAGGTGTTGGATTTTTGGCTAGAAGGACGTTGGGGATGCAACCCTTAGGTTCCCATGTCAAAGAGCTGACGAGTGCGCAGAATCCCAGAGATGGGCTTTAAAAGTTCACTGTGCAAACTTCGAAAGATCGGGGTGAACATCAGGGCCCCTTGCCCTCTAAATCTCTAGAATGTCTTTATGAGGTGTGTTTGTGCCACAAATACATTGCAGACAAACTGTGATCATGTTGTCAACTGTGGTCAAGGAGGGGGAAGACGACCTTCGACCACGGCCTTTGGTTGGCATTTGTAAACCCCAACTTGGAACAAACGTGGGGAATAAAGACTGGTCGTGCACCGATGCTCACACCACCTGAGTCGAAAGGCGTCCGTGACAAGCATTGGGCGCAATGCGCGTCGAGACTCACCAGGCTTCAATTCAACTTCAAGTCACCCCATAGCCCCATCCCCACCCACCCCCACCCTCAACCATATTCACAACCATATTCACCATCCCCACCCACCCCATAGCCCCGCACCAGGCCGCAGCAGGGCAGCGCGGCCATCTTCGCGGCTGACGTGCCTCATGGCCTGCAGCCTGTTACCCAGGCAAGGCCTGCCGAAGACGGAGAGCTCGGGGCGAGGATGACCTCTCCAACCAGCTTGATAAGGACAGTCAAACCCATCACGACCCAAGGGATTTCCCTAATTCCAAACATAAATACAAGGTGGGAGAAGGACACTCCAGCTATTCACCGAGTTCAAGTGGTGATGGTGTGATGGGTCTCTTAGAACCCATCGAGGTCAATCTCAAGGCACTGGGATTCTCGGATTAGGCATACATATATACATATCCTGGGAGTCAAAGACTATACAAAGAATGGTCTTTAGGTGAACCAATATAAGGAAGTTCCTTTACTTCAGTCGGTCAAAATATCGTCGATCTGGACTTCTAGGGTATATATGACTTCTTGGGGTTGACAAAAGACCGGTTATTGCATGGTTTGCACAAGCCCCTCATCCGCCAGTGATTTGCTTGCAGCTACTGGAGGATCCTAAACATGCATGACATGAACACACATGAACATAATGAACACGTTGCTTACTTTGACCTGTTTTGCGTGTGAGGCCATACTTGGAGTCTTTGGGTTGGTGATTTTGTTGGTTAAAAAGTGAGCAAAGAAGCATGCAGGTGCGAGTGACATGTTCCCCCCTTGAGTGATATGTTAAATATCGGTTTTCGATGAGAATTCTACGTCACCTGGACTCTGAAGCATCAGTTCGGTGTCCTTTTTTCGACCGCCGAGCTGAACTCGCGCGCCCGCAGGGGCTCCGCATCTCCTTGAATGTGTGGTTCAGTCGGGAGCCCAACGCCTCGGAAGACACCCGGCTGTTGCAGAGACCCTTCAGCTGGGGCACCACGGCACAACGCCTTTGGGGACTGGGACCTCAGGAGGCATGGCCACCAGGCGGAAGCGGTGGGAAGATGGCGGAAGGCGGATGAAGATGGCGGGAACTCGGAGTGACGCTTGGTGAACCCCAGATCAACTGAGTAAGGCAAAGAGGACCAGAAAATGCCACCCTTTGGTGGTCCAAAATGAAGGTATATAGACTGGATCATCTCCTGGCCGTCGGGCAGTAACCCGAGATTCTCTTTCTTCGGGTGAACCGTAAAACAACAAACTCCTGCTACTCGTAGCTCCCCTCCCATCCGCAGGCGATGGCCATGGGAAGCTCTTGAGACACAGCTTGTCCTCGGTGAAAGCGCCGGCACGTGGACATCGACTGGGCCACCGTGGTGTGGATGGGAAGAAGACACCTGGGCGACAGCTGCTAAGGTGCCTCGAGAGCTGTCCGGAGCGGATCTTGAAGGGATGGAATGTAGGGCATGTTCCCGGTGCCTCGAAGACTCCACCAAGCATGGGTTCCTCCCAGAGCTGGGCGGTATAAACCGAACATCAACCACAGAGGGATTGAAATGTGTGTTTGATCATTTGATATTCGGTTGTTTTGTTAATATAGCATCCATTGTATGGAATGTTGTGCAGAGGCACACCGTTCACTTGTGTGTTTGTTGTGTGTGCAGCTTGGAGGAGAAGGTGTGAGATTTACTTGAAAAGCTGTTATGTGTTATTTATAGTTCCAGCAGGGCCTGCTACATTCCTGTTTTGTCAAACATTTCTTCAGTTGAGTATTCCCTTTTTCGTGGTCAATGACTTCTCGTCTCATCAACGAACCTTTTGCAATTCCAACACCACTTGGCAGGTTTGGAAAAAAATGAGGTTCGACTCCAAACCAAGCTTTGGAGATCCGTCCACCATGTTTCCCTTCGCACCAGCAGGTCCCTGGATGTCCCTCGTTCAGATCTGAGGGCTCCGGCGGCTCCGGCGGCACACCCAGGTCGCTTTGCCGCGGTCCATGCCCATCCAGCCCAAAGGATGTGCAGCGGGGAGGATTGATGGTAGCTGCCTTCCTTCGGCTGTTTGGAAGACGGGGAGACTTGGTGATGGCTTGCTGATATATGGGTCATACCAGGGCCCCCTAAGGGCTGGTTAATGGACACCCCTTAACCTCTAAGGAACTAGTATTGTTAATTCACAATATTTGGCCAAAGTGCGTTTGTTGCTACAAGACTTTTCAGGAAGCATCGTGCTCACATGCACCCGTCTGAATGTCTATCTTCCTTCCTGTCCAGCCATTGTCAGATCAAATCTCCTCCCCAATCAGCCTGGCCCACTTGCACTTCCAAACCTTGTCCCACGGATCCGGCATGAAATGCACGGCTGTTTTGAGAGCGTCCCGTGGGCGGAGCTGAGATCCCGTCCACTGGGCCTCCATGTGACTCCTGGTACTCCTGGTACTCATGTGACTCCTGTATCCCCTTAACGATCATGAAGCGGAAAAAAAGCGTCCGGGTTTGTAGAGAAACCATGCCATCCACTTCCATTTCTTGTTGGATAATTGCTGCGCATGAACAAGTAGAAACCACTGGAATTCAGGGCGACCAGTTGTTTGATATTTGTTGATGAAGCACTATCATCCATCCACTATAGTGAATTATCAAGACAGTCCATCAAGATCTAGATATTGATCGGACCATCACATTCAGATCATCTTATCAATACAAGTTCATGCTCAAGGATATACGTTTATGATCAACCCATCTTACCTTATCAGTTCATCTATCCATATCCACATGGATGTGTGGATGGTTCACACCATCATCCCCACTAAGGACAGCGCTGCTGTGGTTCCTGCCTTTGTCGCCTCGTGCGGCGGCGCGAGCGACTGGTGGCCAAACGGCTTGGCCTTTGGCACGACCAGGGCGGCTTGGCGAACTCGGACTCTCAGTCGAACTCGCCAGGGCATTCGATCCTGGTCATTCGATGCACAACCACTACTTCAACATCAGACTTCAGGAAGCTCAGAGAGCTCGCCATGCTTCACAGGTGAAGGTTTTTCCAAACACCATGGGCAGGGCAGCGTCCTGGGCGAGTCCAGCCACCCTGGCGCGCGCTCGCGCGCGCGGGGGAAGTCCCTCTCCGTCTCTTATGCGAGGTCTACTGTCGATGCCACGTTTCAGCCCCGCGAGCTGTGGCTGTGGCTCCCTGGAACGTCCACTACCGGGGCTGCTGCTGAAGCGCCAGGTGGTGAAGAAACAGGAAGAGGTCATCCGTCGAAGCCAGAGGCCAGAGCGAGAGGTGCGAGAGACAGACCAAGCAGTCATGTGGAAGGTTGATCTTTGGAATGAAGCTGTTACACCCAAGTCCAGATGGCATCGATCCCAACGACGACTTGAGTTGACCTGGAACTCAGTTCCAAAGGTTTTTTCGGTCGACGGTTGGTCTTACCGATCGATTCCGAGCGATTCCATGATCGATTCCTTTTGGCCGATTCCGATTCCATGGTTTTCCGTTTTTTCGTTCCGGTTTTGGTCGATTCAGGTTTGTCGCCAAGGGGGATCATGGAATTGACCAGTCCAAAACCCGAGCCATCCACCCCAGCCCCTCCGACCCCCGCACCAACCACTCGAGGCTGCTGCGGCGGCAAAACCAGGCGATGCGCTTTGGACAGCTGCCACACTGGGCCCAGCGCCTGGCACGGAGGTGCCTCGCCCTTCGCTCCTCTGAGCCGACCCGTGGCTGACGAGTCACATGAATCTCTGGAGCATGCGGGATGGAGATCCCTTTTAAAGTAGTTGTAGATGTTGAGCCAGGACACCCAAACTTGAGGATGATCCATGGGGAGTTTCTCATTGTTTTTTTTTTCCCAGGTATTCTCAGGTATACCATCCAGGTATACCATGGATCTCCCTACTGCCGTGCGATTCGACGGACGCGCGGGATCCCGTGGATCTCAGTTCCTCAGCATCCCTCCGCTGACGATCTTCGAGTCTCAACGAGGTGTGCGCCCACCCCGGCGTTCCGTGTGCCATATGACCAGCTCATTGTGCCTCGGTCACATGAGATTGAATCAGCCTCACTCCACGAAATTGATGGCAGGGGAGGGGTTGATGTCATAGATATGATTTCATGTTGTACAATTTAAAGATTGTAGGTTTGGGATGGTTTGGGTATGTTTGGGTTGGGGTTGAGGACCACCCTGTGACCACCTGGGTTTGCTTTGAAGTGCGTGACATGTGTTTTGTTTTTTTGAGAACTCTTAGGATCCAAGACTCAAAATGAGTCAAAAGGATCCATTAGGTCATTGGATGATGGTTCATTCATGTTCATTCACATTTGTTCATATGATGCCCTAATGGATCCATGAGTCATTAGGTCATGTACAATCAAAATTTTTAATGTTTCATATGTGTTCCAATATAGTTCATTCACCATGACTCAATGACCATCCATGACCTATTTTTGTTGCCACTCCTGTGATAAGGTGAATGCCTATGACCCGGGTGAGGCGGGAGCTTTGGGGAGTCGCTTGGGGTTGCTTCTGGAGGCAGCAACTGTTTTTTTGGATTTGCAAACATGTTATTTGAAATTAATTTGATCATTCATGTGTGTTCCCTTGCTTCTTCAATGATGAATGCTAAATGAATGCCATGAGGCTCCGTTCGGTTGTTCATGAAGCCCAAACGCCCAAACGCCCAACACGACGTGCTGGTCAGATGGACCACTAGAACACCGAAGGAGTCGAACCCCCCGCTTCGGCCGCTTCGAGAATCGAACGAAAGCGAAGACGGGGGGAGTTGATCTGAAGCTGAGAGCAGCAGAACAGTTAGAAAGCGTTCTTGTGTTTGTGCGTTGTTTTTGGTTTTGTCTCAGGCACTTGTTCTGCCGAACCAGGTACTAGTACTGTAAAACGTTCTTCAAACGATGTGTTGTTTCCTGCGGAAGTCTCTTGCAATTTTGTTGCGCCAGTGCAGACACCCAAGACATCCAAAGACCCCAGTTCCAAGCATGACAGAAAGCACCTGGCTCTTCTTTTGGCAGCTCCCATCAACCTCGAACGAACTTGACCTCAGATCAGCTCACATCGTCCAATTCCTTTGGTGGGTTTCTTCATCCTTCACGACCTCCGGTCGGGCCCTGCTCCGCTGCTCGGCTGCTCGGTTCCTGCGGGTGAGGGCATCTTGCCGCACATTGACCTCTTAAAGTTCGATCGTCACGTCCTGGGCCTCAGCCTCTGCTCCGAGGCCACGATGATCTTCCGGCGCCTGAGCGGAGGAGGAGAGGAAGACGGAGAGCGGAGCGTTTAGAGTCCCCAAATAGATAGAAACGGTTTTATACATTTTTAGTGGGGATTTACTTTAATTCATGTTAAATTCCAATGTGCTATAGATGTTTAGATATTTGATATTTGGGGGTTGTATAAGGAGATGGAGATCGGGACGTGGAGTTGGGCCGGAGGTTTTGGGGGTTTGGAGAGCCGAAACCCCGTAGTGGCAGGATTCGATGGGAAAAGGGATGATGGATGATGCTCAGTCTCACGGTGGATTTCTTAGAAGCCTTGTTGTACTTTAAGGCCTTCAAAGAAAGAAATCAGCCGGATGCATGTTTAATCAACCCAAACTTCCTAGCCAGGCACCCTGAAATACTAGGATGTTCCCCAGGATGTTGACATCAAGTATAGATCTCGTAGACGTTGACCACAGAACAACCCGGTGTCCGGCACCTGCTTCCGGTGTCCGGCACCGTCGCACGGGCTGGGCGCCGATGATGCGTCGCAGTCAGGCAGATCCGCCCCAGCGCCTTGCCGGTGAAGTCAGGCCACGAGTTTTCGCGGAGTGGACGTGGAGCGCTTGCACCATGTGGGGTGTGTGGAGGTGTGTGAGGTGTGTGAGGTGTGGGCAGGGGGGTGTGCCAGGACCTTTGAAGGGGGGGTGAATGACATCCCTTGACCCCTAAGTATACTATAGGGGCTAGTCATGGACACCCGAAATCCGTGGTGCTGGTGTGGGGGTGTGGAGGTCGGTGGCAGCTTTTGGTGTCACGAACCCAAGCGCATCCAAATGCAAGCACCACTTCGACGTGTCTTTAAGTTTTGCGGGTCGAATGGTTCTGTATCTTGTTCATGATCCTTTGGTTTGGTCTGACCAGTAGGCTGTTTCCAGTCTGATCTCGCGATCCCAGTGTATGCAGTGTGCAGTGGAGGCCACTAAGAACCAAATCCATCCAATTTGTTTTGGAAGACATCAAATCAAAACCATTGTCCCACAAAGCATTTTGAGTGAATCCCGACCTGTGATTCCCCACCTGTAGTCCCACCTGTATATAAATCCAATTAAATCTATAATGTTGTGAACCTAAACAAACATATTATGGTCTTGGAATGACCTTCATATTCTCCAAAACAGACATCACATGACATCACATGACTCATCTAACCCCAGAGCAAAAAGGAACAGACATGAATGACATGAAACGTCTTGTTGACCCAACACTGAAACACCACTCAAACTCCAATATTTCGAGAATTTTGGGTTCCCGAAGAGTCCCACCCCAACGAGAAAGCAAACCAAAAGGCGTCCCTGTTGCGACCCCCCCCTGTTTGTTGCACTGCAGTCGCTTTCTTCCGTGCGCGAACGCCGCGCGCGTGAAGCGTGCGCGCGCGCGGAGGTCAAGAGTGTTGCCTGGAACAGGACACCGACCGGACCGTCCAAGTGCAGCTCAGACCAGGCGACGTCTATGCGCTCAGAGGAGCTGCCAGGCGACCGGGAGGGGCGCAGGCAGCATGGCGCAGCGTCAGATGAGGTTTGGAAGGGAATGGGATCAGTTGAGAGGTGGGCAGCTTGATTGTTTGGCCACCCCATGTTTCAAGCACCTGTCACCTTTTTCTCACTCTGTGCGGCCGGTGATCTTGAATTCCCTTTGATGCATTGTATATTGGTTGGACCTGTAGAAGGTGGCTTCATCTTGCATCAGTTAGAGGTCTGGATTTTCGAGGATGAAGTTGAGTAAGTTGTGCATGAAAGGGTTTGAGTTGTATGGACCCGACAGAGGGTGCTGTGCTCCTTGCTTCCTGGGCATGGCCTGGGTTGGGTTCTCAAAAGGCTTTTCATCTGGCTGTAGGGTAGGCAGAAGATCGAGAAGATCTAACCTTTTGGCCTTCTGCAACCTCAGAATGTGTCGAAAATCCAATCTCAGAGGACGAAGGGGCGCGCTGTTTGGGGCTCCAAGCTGCTATGCCTGTGGTGACCATGGGCCGCAGATTGGCAGAACGGGCCGGCCATGTTGCAGATTGTGGGCCTCTCAGGTGAACGGTTATTGGGCCTCTCAGGTGAGGAGGCACGAGCCATCCTGGAAAGCAGCAAACCTGCGACCTGGCCATATGATTTTGTTATAGAAATACTATACAAAAAGAAACGACAAGAAGTCACAATATTCCAGGACCCTCCGTTTGGGGTGTCTATTTATAGCCCCTTATATAGCCGATAATTAAGGGGTGTCCATGTCTACCACCCCTTGAAGGCCCTGTTGATGGCCCACCTTGTTGGACTTTGAAGCTGTGCGAGGTCGCCGCCAGCTAGATTGATTGCCCAAACACACAGACAAAAGATGACAAAGACATATATGTTTGAGTTATTTTGTGTTTGTGTGTTTTTCTAGCAAGGCTTTCCTGGGATAGCTTGGGGATTGTGCTCTCAATCTGTTGTTTCCTCCAGCGTGCCAGCTGTACCTTAGCCTGGTGCTTCTTGGCTAGTCCGACGACCGACCGAGTCAGGTGAAGGCATTAAAAGCCTTGCTCGAAGATCAACTTGGGTACTCCAGGTTTCGGCAGAGACTCTTGCAGGAAAGTGCCGAGCTACATGATGATGCTCCCATTGAGTCTCTGCCGTTGACTTTGCAGTTGGTCATCATGAACTTCCAACCCCCAGATGAGGTCAGGGACCACTTCTTCCTGAATCTCTGTGCGAGGAATTTGTCGCAGGAGGTTGAAGGTCTGCTTCAGACGTTGCAAGACCCAAACACTCGTGTGGCAGAATCTGACCGAACAGCCTTGCACGTGGCTGCAAAGCATGGCCACTTTGAGGTGCTTCGATTGCTCCTTGAGGCTTGTGCTGACAAAGATGCAAAGGAGCAAGAGGGCACAACAGCCTTGCATTGGGCCGCTGGGAACATTCACTTGGAAGCGCTGCGATTGTTGCTGGAGAGTGGTGTTGACAAAGATGCTGCAGAGGTAGATGGCACAACAGCCCTCCATAGGGCAGCCAGGAAGGGTGACTTGGAAGTAGTTCGATTGCTGCTGGAGGCTCGGGTTGACAAAGAGGCCACAGCACGAGGTGGCAGAACAGCCTTGCATGAAGCAGCCGAGAACAGCAACTTTGAAGTGGTGCGATTGCTGCTGGCGAGTGGTGCTGGCACAGATCCTGCAGAGAAAGATGGAGCAACAGCCTTGCACTTTGCAGTCTCTGCTGGTGGACTGGAAGTTATTCGGTTGTTGCTAGAAGCAGGGGCCGACAAAGATGCAAAGGAGCAAGATGGTACAACGGCCTTGCATTTGGCAGCAGTCTCTGATGGTGGACCTGAAGTTGTTCGATTGCTGCTCAAAGCTGGGGCTGACAAAGATGCCACCGCACGAGGTGGCAGAACAGCCTTGCATGAAGCAGCTTGGAAGGGTTGCTTCGAAGTGGTGCGATTGCTGCTGGAAAGCGGTGCTGACAAAGATGCTGCAGAGGCAGATGGCACAACAGCCCTGCATGGGGCAGCCCGGAATGGTTTCTTGGAAGTGGTTCGATTGCTTCTGCAGGCTCGAGCTGACAAAGATGCCACCAGGCAAGGTGGAAGGTCAGCCTTGAACGAAGCAGCGGGGAATAGTCACTTTGAAGTTCTCCAATTGCTGCTGGATGGAGAGTGAGCGATCAGACGCTACGAACGGAGCATTTCGGGCATCGCTACGAACGGAGCATTTCGGGCATCGCTGCGAACGTAGCTCCTGGCCTTACTACGAACGGAGCGATCGGATGCTGCGAACGGAGCGATGTTGGCACTGCTGGCACGCCGGGAGCCCAGGATCCGCCGGACACGAATTCCGGAGATCAGGAGACGACGATCCGGCGCTCCCAGCGAGCCCAGGGAGCCAAGAACCGGAGACGCCCCGGGGCGAGCAGGGCTGCGAAGGATAAGACGCATGTTTGACATGGACGTGCTTGTGGAATCTTCCAGAGGGTTTCGTCACGTTTGCTCACTCTCATCCTTGGTCTTGAGAAGTTTTGCCGCCATGATCCCAAAGATTTCACTGGCTTTAAGGCCGCAAGTGAAGCCACGGCCGCTGGCAGCCTGGACTGGTGATTGAAGTGGTTCGATTGTTTCTGGAGGCTCGGGTTGACATAGACGAACAACCTCACGCGAAGTCACAGAACCACCGAAAAGAGGAAAAAGCAGGGTTGCGGGTTGCGAGGTTGTGAGGTCAAGCGGTGAAATTGCTGCTGAAGAAAAGAAGCGCGCTGAGCCCACACCACGGAGGTGTCAAAAACAAATTGCAGGTATTGACAGTTGAAAGCGTTTGAAAGCCGAGCCGTCAGAAATACCTGCAATCTCCTGCAATATTGCTCACACCTCCAGGTATTTTTAAATACCTGTTGTTCACACCTCCGTTGTTCCTTCAGCCGTGTTCGAAACGGAATCACTCCGATGTCCGATCCCATGCTCCGCGGACATCCTCGCTGTTCGCCGTTTTGGGATGAGCGGAGAGAACACGAAAGCCGTCGGTGGCTCCTGTTTGGGATCATGTGTGATCCCCACGTAAGCTGTTCCTAAGCTGCAAAAAGCGCAGTTCCAATCAAAGTACCTGGGTGATATACAGCGTTTTCAGTGGTTTGATGGCACAAGTTACCCCAAGTTTGGTGGTTTAGGTGGTTATATGGACCTATATGGCGTATATGGACCCCGATATTCAAGACATCTTGGGGTGCCAGTGCCATCTACTCTCAATCCGCTATACCTGTTTGGCCCATGCTTGTCATGTTGATCCTTTTCTCTTGGAAGGCGAACGAGGAGACAAACTGCTGTCACCTGTGGTCCACGCCTGTGGTTCTGGTATGTTCTGGACGAGGATACTCTTCCAAAGGCCTCATGTTTACTTCAGGTCAGAAAAGTGAAGTCAAATGTTTCATGATGTTTCGTATATCCCTCGTAGCCAATGTGCCCACATTGGCCCAGGGTCCCAGTTTGCTTCCATTACTTGAACATTGATAGCTGTGACATTAAGATGACCCGTCATGTTCCATCATTGTTGATTTGAGCTGTTTCACCAAATTTGTCGTTTATAGCACGTTTTAAAAGGTCACACACTTAAGATATCTTAAGATTACCTTATATTACCTTGAGAAGGACATCATGTATGTCACACGAAAACAAGTTGTTCAAAGACCACTTACCATTTGGGAGCTAGGACCACCACTCACCATCTGCGAGGTCAATCTAGGTCTCTACCTTTAACAGTTTCACATACCCCTGGCCAACGCGATGTTTGGGATCTGTTCTACCCTCACGTTGGGCTTTGTTCCGCTTCACCAGCGCCCAGATGTCTCGGTGGGTGGCCATGCCAGGTACCAATGGACTCATGAGATCTCTCCCGTCACTCAACGTCGCATCAGCAGGGTCCCCAGCATGGATGTCGGTGGTTTTTTTCGGCCTGAGGATGGAAAGCAATGAGAAGAGTCCTGGATAAGGACTGACCTGGATCCCGAACTACACCCTGACCTGATGGAGTAGTGATTATCTATGTGGTGATTCACTTCTCACATCACTAATCCAGGCACTTTCTTCCATGTCGTGGGGTTGCCAAGATCAGATCTGAACAAGCAGAAAGACTCGGTGATCTCACCAAAATGGGGGGCATATGGGGGGCACCAGGTCTGTTGATTTCGCTTCAGCTTTTGCATGTGGATGCAATCCCGCTTCCTTGGCGTTTGCCCAAGCTCCGCGCTCCGCTCGTGGTGTGTCTCATGGCCCGTTCAAGACGATCGTGGCTGCTGGCCCTTGGGGCTCTTGGGGCACTCTGGGCTGCCGCACCAGACCCCACATTTACGTGGCGCGGTGCAATGCGACGCGCTGCGTTGTGGGGCGAAAACGGGTTGATTGCAGGGCCAGATCACGTGGTGAGAGTATTGCACCAGCAATTCAGCACTTCTTCCAAAATGGCTGTTCGGTCTGTGACTGCTTGGCTTTTCCAGAAGTGAAACCAATCCATCGACGAACGCAACGGTGCTGCCACCTGCAGCTCTTGTCGTCTCGTCAACGTCCCATCCGGTGCGGAAGGGGTCGATCCGCAGGGAAGGGGTCGATTCCAAGCTGTTTAGGCGGACATATGGAAGGTAGGACACGTCCAGAAAAACGATGAGGTCAAGTTCTTCAGTTTGTCTTTCATTGCCTCAGGACATCTACTGTAACTTGGTGAACTGGAAAGATGTTGTTGTTTTGTTGAGAGGGGCCCTGCTACTTTGTTTTGGACTAGACGATCAAGTTAGAAGGTGGCCCGTTTCTTTGTGTTCAGCATGTTCTACGGGTACATTCTTCTGGGTTACTGTGTTCCTGAGTGATCTCTAGTAGTTTTAGGAGGTCGAGACATGGATGATCCCTGCAGAGACGCCGAACAAACCGGATCACCGCCACCAGACATGCTTCCTTTGAGGCCGCCAGTTGCTCATGAGGAGCCGCTCCCCTTTCCGGTCTCCAGAAGCCTCTCAGTGCTCTTGGGCTTGGGGATCCTGAGCTCATCAGCGACGCCGGTGCGGAGTAGTAGTTAGTACTTAGTGGCAAGTAGTAAGGTAGTAGGTAGTAGGTAGCAGGTAGCAGGTAGTAGGTAGTTCGTAGTAGGTAGTAGGTAGTAGGTAGTTAGTAGTAGGTAGTTCTTAAATGTTATTATTATTATTAGTAGTAGTAATTTTTGTATATTTTTGTAGTAGTAGTAGTAGTAGTAGTAGTAGTAGTAGTAGTAGTAGTAGTAGTAGTAGT